AAAAAAATAAATACCGAGTTGAGTTTTTCTAATTCAATTTGTTTTTTATCGGTTACAAAGACGTCCTCCTAATGTAAAATTTCATTCTCTACAAGTCGAGTTCTTTGGCATTTTTCTCGTAAACGCACGATTTCAGCGTAAAATCGAGTTTTTTGTACGAAATCGAGGTCTAAACCAAAATATCATAATTTCGTCACAAAATTGACCTTTGGCACCATTTAAAATGGTTGAAATTGGCCCAAATTTTGGCAAACATGTTTTTTTACCAAACGTCATCGATTGCCGCCTGGGGAGCGGAACATTTCAGACTTTCATTTTTTTTGACGCACCCTAGGGCCTCCCTCGACCCCCTGCCCGGTAGCGCCACTAACTGTTATCGCCATTACTTTTCAACAAACAATAATCCAAATACTTAAAATCCATGTTTCTGATATTTCTTCAGGAGTTCATGAAATCTGACAAGAGTGGGAGAGCATTGGCTCAGAGTATGGTATTTCTGTTTCATGGCATGTCAGCCATTATAATCATGTTTATCCTTCATTATACGGCCACTTTGCTGCAACAATCTGTGAGTAAACATATAACAGTTTATATGAATAGCAACAATACTTCCAGCCGTTCCTCGGATATATGACTTCCATAAATGAGGAGTTTTAGTATTAATTAATTTTCGTCGGTATCAAATCAATACACATACTCGTAAATATTTTTTTCGTCTTGGAGTATATACGTAATTGTAGAACGTATAGCGACTACGATTTTATGGGATGTCGGTTTGCGAAAGATAACACCGACAGTACCGACAACCCTCCCATTTTTACGTTGGACCCAAAATATATTATAATGTTTTACCGACAAAAATCAGCAATAGAAGATTACGATTTTGTTGTGTTATGTAGCAAACAGACTTTAGGTATAAATACTGAAAATCTAACTGAGCAGATTCATTTAACAGCTTATGGATAAAAGTGCACTATGGTAGCCCGAGAACCTAGATTAAGAATAGACAGGAAAAGGCGGGGACGAAGCTGAAAAAACACACCATAATTACAAATCAAGGGATGATATTTCAACTGGTATCCCGGTGATTATCAACCGTCAAAAAGAATTAAAAAATCTAAAAAATAAAACTAGGAAAAAAAGAGGTAAAAACAATGTCACCGGTCCCTGTCATGGCGGCTAGAAGACCAGGTAATTCAAACCCACCCCAACCGGTAAAAGTGTTTTTAGCTTCTTAATTTTGTAGTTTTTTTTAGATTTTTTAATTCTTTTTGATAATGACCGGGAGACCGATGAACACGTCCCGTGATTTGTAATTATTGTGTGTTTTTTCGGCCTCTTCCCCGCCTTTTCCTGTCTATTTTTATTTAACAGCTTACATTACAAATTTCTTTTAAGAGCTACCAAATTAAAGTTGTACGAAACTGAAAGAATGTGTCTTATCTTCTGTTTTAATTATCATTTTTCTTCTTCCAAAAGAAAAATAATGATAAATTCCATTCTAAACAGCCTTAGTGTAAGTAAAGTCTCCCTTGGACGTAACCCAGCCTCTCAGATTGCACATAAAGTAAAATCTTTTTTCTCGCAGAATCGTGGTCTGAAATTCGCCTTATGGAGTTCCGATTGGGTTGAAGCAACGTCGGAATATAAGAACCTATTTCGAATTTTCCTGTTACGGTTAAACCGTCCGTTACAGATGAAAGCTTTGAAGTGCAACTCTGTCAATCTCCAGCAATTTTCACACGTAAGAAACATCTCCCAGATTTATGTTAGTCGAAAAGTTGAGTAAGTTGTGAAATTAACGTTTGAATTAGTTCATAAAGCTCTTTTGCATTTGTTTAATTTAACTGCCATTCTTTTAAAAATATATTAAAAAAATGGGAAAAAGAACGTGATGCAGCCTTTACAATAAAGTTGGATTGGTATAAAACATAGAGCTATGGGTAAAAAATATGATAAATAGTACACATGCATACCTGTAATTTCCGTAAGACGATTTACTGACCAAGGCAGGAACTCCCCCCCCCCAAAAAAAAAAAAAAATAAAACCATGGAAAATTTGCTTGAGGATGGACATGATTTCAATGCTCTTTCATTCATGTGCTTTGGGCAGGAAAGAAGTCAATTTTGTAGGGTCTCGCTATGTAATGTGTGTTTCTTTTAATTCTACAAACGCTCTAATTAATTTTCGCAGATTTTTGAAGTTCCATTAGTGAACGATGAAGAATCATAATGGTCTTATTCGGTTTTGGTGTTATTTTTTGGTTTCAGTATGTCGCAAGAGCGTTATCTTACATTATTTTCTTACTTGAGCTATCACGATCGAAATGAATGCCGGAAACACGCTTTACAGTACTCGTAAGTTAAATGCATAGCAACAAAGTTGTTCTAATCATTACTAGATACTGGAGTCGCACACCAAAGAAATTATTCTTATTGATGGATCCACTTTCTTTGAGGAAGATGCTTGGAAGAAAATCGACGGTGCAAGTCGGCAATCACATAACTCGTTTGCGGTGTCTGAAAATCTCCGCAACTATGTTATTTTTTTAAAGGAGAACAAATGGACATGATTCCTTGAAGTTTTTGCAGAATTTTCCTCGCACATAGAAGAAAAATCACGGAAGTTTTAAAGAATTACCGTTGAGTAGTTTTCCGTTTAAAAAATAAAGTATGACAGGAAGTCTGCGACGTCGCAAACCGAGTTATGTGATTGCCGACTTTCACCGTCGAAATATATTATTGTATGCAACAAGCATGACGTATAAAAGAGATGAAGAACCCTCCTTCGCAGAAATGTAAAGCAGAATACATAACATACTCGTATCGATAGTTATTTTTTGGGACTATAGCTGGACTTACATTTGTCCTCGGTGAGGCAACAAGAAAATTGAAATGAACTAAGCTGTGATTACTCAATCCGATAAAACTTGGCATGCTCCCAGCGAAAAATGAGAGCAAAGTATAAGCGCCATGAGTCAAATAAAAAATTAGAATAAGGAAATAAAAAGAAGAAGAAAATAAAAACACAAAAAATGAAAACAGAAAAATAACCTTAAAATTTTACGCGTTTCCAGGGTTTTGATTTGTGTTTAAAGCGAACTTCTAATCATTTCCGATATTTCTAGTGCTCTTTTAAGGTCTTCATTGTATTTCATTGAATTATTTAAATCTGATCATTTTATTCCTTTTACTTTGCTTTTAGGTAAGCTAAAAAATTAGGTAAGCTAAAAGACCTAATTAGATAATAAAGAAGTGCAAAAAACCGAAACTGTGTACTTCAATAAAAGTCGCAATTTTTTAGATGATGCAATAAGCAGTTGATAAGCATACATATTTTTTTTTTCATCCAGCAACTTCCCATGTGACATTAATGCGTCTTTTGATAATTTTGATTTGAGGGGGAAAATGTTGATTGGGACAGTCAATGCAGTGTGCAAGTGCAACAAAAACAAACCTTCCAATCAATGACATCGTATTCTAAGCGGTCAGCTGTGGCAATAAACCACCAAAGGCCATTGCGAGACCCACATCGATGAGGAAAAACGGATTAGCATGGGTAATGACATTGAACGCTCAGAAATACGAGTAAATTTCACCGTACTAATTACTCCTTCATCACTGCACACAATGGACTAATAATAAAATTTCCCCGACAATGAACCAAAAGTTCTAAGTAAAATCAGTGCATTTTAATTTTCAAAGCTTTTAGTCTCCGTCAAATTTGTTACATACGCATAAATTCATCTGAAAATTAAAGTCTCTAGAACTTATCGATAAAGTTATGAAAATAAATGCACTTGACATTTCTATAATCTCCATCCGATAGAATCTTCGAAATTTGTGACAAAAAGAAGCCATGAGTGGATAAAAGTAAAGACGAACTGAAATTGGCAAAATGCTTGCTACAAATTTATGTAAGGGAAATGGACCGTGTGGATGTGTTCGTGTTTTGAGTCATTGATAACAAAGTATAGAGATATATTCTACAAACTTTTTGGAACACAAGCTCCTAAAAATTATACACCAAACAGAGTTGAAGTTTGCTGTTTTAAAAAAGTGGTTCTCAGAAAAAACTGTTTAGAATTCTAATCCATCTTGCACAGAGAACGAGACCACCGAATTAAAACTTCGTCCATTGATACTAAAACAAGCTATAAATCATTTAAAAATTATCTTTTTAGGAGAGAGTCACCTATCAAAATCTTAATTTCAATTTTTCGTCTTAATTTAGTAAAAAATTACTCCTCCAAAAAATTTTCCTAGGTTCATCAACGGCTCTTTTCTTTTAAACGATCATGTATATAAAAGTTTCTTCAAAACGATACACGAGGACAACTGATAGAGTTGAGGTTGAATTGAAAATCGAATTTTACGAAAAAAGAGGATAAATTCAAGAAAATTCCCATCAAGAAATAAACAGTTCATTCCTCTCTGAGATAGTATGTAACAAAACAACAAAATTAGCTAATTGCTTTTAAAATCTTAAGGGGGCATCTTCATTTGTGACACAACTCTTTAGAAAATTTTAAATTTTCAATTGAAAAAAAATAAAATAAATAAATAAATAAGTAAATAAATGTCACTGTCCGCTGAAAATATCTGTGCAACAATAATCTCTTACCGTTTTGATTTTCTAAGTTTATTTCCTGTAAAATTTCATGTTAATGTTTTTGGAATTTGAATGTTTTGAACGACTCTTTTTTCATAAATTAAAAAGATAGGTACTGGTACTGTTAAATTTGACTGAACTCACAGTTCATCGATCTAAAAACTGAATCATTACCAAAAGATCAATTTTAGCTTTCCATTTCATTTTCCACAATTTTTAGAGTCATCTTTTTAAAATTTTGCTCTACTGTGCGCGACTTTAGGTGCACGTTTGCGGTTGTCAAATCACTCACAAACATATTGAATCACTCATAGGAATTTCAAATTTATTCTACAGTATTGGCAATCCTTTTGCTGGAATCTCTTTCATAGCGTGTCCAGATAGAAAACCGACTAGATTGTTCATTCCAATTGCGGTATTGCGCTCCTCAAAAAATCTGTCAGCATTTTTGAAGCTGTGTTTATTAAAGTTAATCTGCGGTCCTGCTTAAGAAAGTCCGAAGTCAAACGTAGTGTTTCAATTTCCCCCCATATACAAAATTTCATTCACCTAATTTACGTGCGCATTTCATCTGCGGTAATTATTGTCTCATATTTATCTTAAAAAATTGTGAACCTACCCTGGAAATATCGTGTTACAATAATTACTGTTATAAAACCTTACGATTCACCTTGTTGAAAACGTGGGAAAACTGAAAAACTTATCCGACTCATGACTCTGATCTTGCATACAACGGCAGTATTAGATCACCCGATAATATATCCTGAAACGTATGGGATATTCCGTTAAATTTCGAGTTAACAGCAAATTCTTATGAAGAAAAAATGCCTCCAAGACGCGTTAGTGATCATTTTATCAAAGGTAAATGTAATTTCATCACATAAGGTAATTATGAAGAGCGTATTGAAAAAACGGCAATTTAAGAGGTAAGCAATGAATACTTTTTTGAAATACTATAAACTTAGATTTAATTTAGCTAACTGTGGATAAAAGATTTATTCATTTTTACTAATTTCCCCATGAACTGTTTCAACTGTGCAGACCATCAGCAGAATTTTCAAAAGTAGTACAATTATAGCTATGTAAGTATTTTTTTCCATCACAATGAATCAGACAAGTACATATTTTAATTGTATGAACTTTATCAGTTGCTTTAAATACAAAATACTGAGTGAAAAAACGGACACAGGGTGTGCTAAAAGCAGCCGAGATGGATCTCTGAGGAGGTTATAGGACATTTCGTCAACGGTTTTTTGTCCGCGCACCTGTTTTTTTCCAGTAATTTACGTCCACGCGTTTTTTCGGCACGGGAGTTTTGGTCCACGTGCCAGTTGAGACCAAAAGTTGATTGGCCCACATGTAAATACAAACGACAATTGCTCACGACGCTTTTGGATGAAAATGTATAATGTCTTGGAAGAATGAGGGTTTGCTTGTTTTTTTTGTTTTATCTGTTTGGTCCAACGGAGAATAATGCATAGTTAAGAGTTTTGGTAAAAATGGGGGAGCTTCAATTCCATGAGACAAAATTCACTAAAACTCTCTACACCTTTTTGGTGTAACAGGACTTAATTATCTTTCAAGAAATTCCCACCTTGTTATACCTGAACCGGATAAACCTCTATACTTGCCTCAGCTAAAGGCTCTTAGATTTTCCCTTTGCACGATAAGTATCTTGATTTATTTTGCGAGGAAAGATCTGTACTTTTAAAGGATGCCTGCCATTTTCTTAATATGTTCAATTTCGTATAATACTGTGCAACACCTCTGTTGGGAAATAGTTGCTTCAGGCGCCGCCGCACGGCGGCGGCGGGCGGGCGAGCGACCAGCGCGAGAGGCTCACTGGCGCCTACAAACCTAAATGGATACTTCACGCATTGCACAATGCTTGAAGTATCCACTTAGGTTTGTAGGCGCCAGCAGGCCTCTCGCGCTGGCAGCACGCCGCTCCGCTCTGTTCGGCTTTAATATTTATACTCGCAGAGTCAGCGTTTTTTAATTCATGATTTTGAAATGTTAACACACTCTGCATTGATTCTCATTTAAATTGATGGAGAAAAAATATTTATCAATTTATCAAAGGAGAATAATAATATAATATGTGTTTTTTAAATATTGGTGGTTCCGTGTCAAATTTAATGATTTCCAAAGCACTTTAATTTTTTCTTTTACATTTTGTGCTTTTATTGTGCTGCAGCGAGGTGTATGCGCAACGAAACGCTCAAAATTTGACGTATTTGACTCTAAAAGATCGATGTACAAATGAGTTAAAACTGAAGATTGCGTGCTACTTGTTTTTTTCCCCTCTTTTATTCATTTTTGTAGTTTCTGTCGGCACAACTGCGGCTCATTGAGATTAAAGTCGCTTGGAAAAGGTTTTACAAATATATGTCACGTTTTATAAAAATATGAATGTTTTCAAAATGAAGTCATAATTTCGTAAAGAAAAAATAAAAAAATAAAAATAAAAAAAAGTACCTACACATATATAAGGTATATTGTACGTTACATATTTCAAAGATAGAAATAAAACCAAATATTCACCGAAGACAATATAAAAATATGATTCAAAAGGAGAAAGTAATAACATTTCATTTAGAAAATGAGCAACCATAACAACACCTCCTTCAGAAAAGAGTTTTAATTATCTCATACTAACTAATTTTATTCCATACGTAACCCCTAAAAATATAAAGACTGATTACATTGAGTGCGCGCAAGTGGCCATACTCGAGATGCATAACGACGGTGAAACTTCCAAACCACGTGTCTCGTTTAAGGTGTTTGAAAATCTCCGCTCCTATTTTCCTTTAAGGAGAAGAAAAAATCAACATCATTCCTTGAAGCTTTTTAGAATTTACTTCGCACAGAAAAGAAAAATCACGAAAGTTTTTAAAAATGAAGTTAAGTTCCTCATTTAGAAAATTGTCTATGGCAGGAAATCTGCAACGCCCCATACCAAGATACGTGGTTTGGAAGTATCGCCATCGATAAGTGGTTATCCTTACCAAAAGAGGATCAGCTCACTACAATCAATGATCCCATATTTTAGTTATCCTTTTAGTGTGTATTATTGTTTCTTTTGATCATCTCATGCCTATCTTTTTCTTGTTCCTAAGATGCTGTTGCTGAAATTTCACTTTGGGGGGCTCAAGTCCTTTATTCGATTAAATTTCATACTTTCATCTAAGGACCCCGGACGTTACATTCCACCCTCGCCCTCATCATGGAAGAACCATTCAGAATCGAAAACGACTGGCACTGCAAGCTACTCATGTTCTTCTTACGACTGCATGGTCTTCATTTTATATACTTCGGAGAGGGGCTGCTCAGTAGATCCGTGCTCTACATCCGGTCAGCCATCATTGGACTTCAGTGTTTCTTCTTACTCCACAGCCTGGCCAGCATCCTCATGCACATCACCCAAGAGACTCCTGTCCAAGTGCGGGTGCTCAGTCACTACTCACAGTATGTGGGCGTTTCCCTGTACAGCGCCTGCAGGAACTACTCGCTGTTGAGCCGAAGGGTGGATATCGCCTATCTGCTCAAAGACAGTTGCCGGGTGAGGCTCCATTCGGCCGAAATTGACATAGCTCCGTTCTGGCGTAAACACACACTCACGCTGTCTATCTTCTGGATCGGATATATGCTCACAGCTAACATGGTTGGGGTTGGGCTCCTTGGGGTCGTATCGCCTTTTTTGAGGTTAGTTCTCACAGTAAGGTTAGCGAGAACAGTCTTTTTTTTTAATCGGACGGTTCTCAAAACAAAAGGCTAATCATTATTGGCCGTGTGATAAGTCGATTTTAAATGACAAATTTGACTTAAGTCGATTCCGGTTTTTTCGGCGAGCAAAAGAATTGAATCTTCTAAACTCGAACTCTTAAAAGCTAATCTCTCTCTGAAATGTCAATTAAGGGTATTTTCGCACGTTTAACATGTAATGATCATGAGAAAACTGCCCTATGGTGCTTAAAATGCTCACCCCGTACAGCGGATCATTATTCCGTGGAAAATTTTGTAAGGACCCTGTGAAAAATCCTCACACTAACTAACGTACCTTAATATATAAACACATTATATTTTCCTTGGATACATTTTTTTTTTTTTTTTTTCTCTCTTTTTTTTTCCAATTCAAATGAGAACAATGCATACATTCCAAAATCATAAGTTAAGAACGCGGACTCTGCGAGTTTAAACATTACAGCCAAATACAGAGTGAAGCGGCGCGGCGCAGCGTGCTGCCAGCACATGCGCACTGGCGCCTACAAACCTAACAGGGGTACTTCACGCATTGCGCGATGCGCGCACTGGCGCCTACAAACCTAACAGGGGTACTTCACGCATTGCGCGATGCGCGCACTGGCGCCTACAAACCTAACAGGGATACTTCACGCATTGCGCGTGTCGCGTTGGTCGCCCTCGCCCGCCCCGCCGCCTCAAGCAACTAATTCGTAACAGAGGTGCTGCACAGTGTCATACGACATTGAAGGCGCCAAACATATTAAGAATGACAGGCATCCTTTAAGAGTATGGAAATTTCTTCGCAAAATAAATCAAGATACAACGGCACAAAAAGAGAGCGATAGCTAGTCCAAAAACACTTTAAAAGCTAATCTCTCTCTGAAGTGTCACTTTAGGGTATTTTCGCACGCTTAACATGTAATGATCATGATAAAACTGCCCTATGGTGCTTAAATGCTCACCTCGTATAGCGGATCATTATTCCGTGAAAATTGTGTAAGGACCCTGTGCAAAATCCTCACACTCAGACTTCTTTCCTTTAATTTTTTACATGAAAACGGTTGTGTGGATTTTTGTGGAAACAGTGAATTCTCCAAATGGTGCGGAGCAAATTCCATGAAGTTTTCAAAAAAATCCGCACAAACGTTCCCTTGTAAAAAATTAAATTGCCTGGTTAAATTTGGCAGAGGCTGGTGCGGCGTGGTTCCTTCCTACTAAACGCAGTCCATTTGTGATTCCATATTGCGTTACGTCTACAGGTTTGTGGTGAGGCAGGAGAAACCAACATTCATACTGCGGCGCGTGTGGTATCCAAAGTGGGTCTACTCGTCACCCATGTTGTGCTGGTGTCTGGCGATCTACGAGGGGCTCCTCATATTCGACACAAGCCTTGCACTACTCATGCCCGACATGCTTTACTTGTACTTAGCACACACGACCGTTGTGAAGTTGGAGGCCCTTGGCCAGTTCTTCGCCGACAGCTTCGAAAAGACTGGAAGGGAGAGCAACTCTTCGGGCCTTACGAGAGCATCGGTGAATGAAAATAATGAATATCCGCACGTTGAATTTACAGGTAGGCATCACTTGACAAGAGAAGTTACCGTATCCATCCAACGCGAAGTACCACGAGTTCCACAAGTATCCATTGAAAAAACGAACCCTATGAAGAGAAGTCTGGATATACTATTCTAAACAAGGTACAAGTGTTAACATTTAACCGGAGACAAATGTAGCTTCCTCCATTGGTACCCTGAAAAAAAGATGGGTAGAATTTACCACTCCTTCACGCTGTGTCAAATGCAGCTTGAAGGAATGGTAAATTCTACCAATCTCTTTTTTCCGTGTATCTTGGCAAAAGTGGAAGCTTTTCCTTTCGGGACTCCAACAGACCTACTCACAAGTTGGATGTTGCACAACGTGTTGAGCATTTTGTTCTGCAAACAAGTCCAAGTTTGATCGAATTGATCAGCTTATTGAAGCGCTGGGTTCAGAAAGGGCAATTCTCGGTTAGGATGTCTCAAGATCACACTATATTCACTATAATTGAAGCATGGAATTCGTTAAAACTTTTACTAAATTCTCATTATGATTTTACAGTGCTAAAAACTAAAAATTTCAGAAAATTCGCCTAATAAATCGATAATTTCCCCCTAAAATATAGGTTAGCAGTGGAGATTCTGAAACCCCGCAAACAAGAAAAAAAACGTCGTTTCTGCATCGAACGCCAGTATCGCTTAGGCTTGCTCTCGGAACCGCAGCCAAATGGCAATTTCGTTTTTGCACCATAGGATAGGGTACAGGTACATAGAGTCTTAATAAAAATGGAGGAGCTACCGCCACTTTTAAGCATTTTCCAGTCACCGAATTCTATGACCGCTGTGCGATGCCGGGTCTCTATTTCGATACATTATGGATTGTTTTCGGTACACGAATATCCGCGGTCATTCTATGTAAACAAGAGGGTTTGAATTATTCCGTATTCTATATCGCCATTTTGGATCGAAAATGTATCGAAAAGGTGACTGGATCTCGGGACACACCACGTTCAAACCTCGTCGACCAAAACATGGGCCCAGCTCACTTCATTATGTAACGACTCTGTGTACTCTGTGCTTCGCACACATTTCCATAAATAATGCAATATTCTGGTACCCCGCGAATGATAAGATCGGAATCCTAAAACTATCTTCTAATTTTCATTTCCTTTAAAATTTCAGCGGTGGCCTTCATTATAGACAACATTGCTTTATTTTTCAATCTCTTTTTACAGGTAATCGAGAAAAAGGTCACGAGCACAAAATGGAGGCTTTTAAGAAGGGCATCGTTGATTGGCACATTCTTCGGCGGTAATTTTTCTTATTTCTTTCTCTTCTAAAATTTAACTTTGCAAGTTTACCTAGGTATTTTTAAAAAAAATTGAAGCTTTGGTGGCTATCATTTCAGTAATACCTAGGTATTTTTAAAAAAATTGAAGCTTTGGTGGCTATCATTTCAGTAAGATAAAATTTCTATATCACTGCTTGTTCTTTACATTCATGACCGAGACTTTTGCAAAATAAAGTAAGTTTTGGAGATTACAACCGTCGATTGTTTCTGTGTATAAAGTTTCCGCACAAAATTTCTACCAATAAGTTTTCGGAAAATCATTCCCAAATATTGATTCCACACATTCTTGCCAATTAACGTTTCCGAGTTGCAACATTTTGCAACGCTATCATACACGGAAATATCTTGGTTTACTTTTTTATAAGCTATGATGTGTTTATATACTTCCAAATGAATTAAAAAGAACATACTTCTAATAAAAGTCACAAGGGACTTGCTGAAATAATCAGATGAGTAGAACTGCAGTAAAAATTGGTGTCTATATTTTTAAAGAATTTCATTAATATTTATTTCGTCTTGCTTATTAATAAAAGTTTAAAAAAATATATTTATTTTATTTAAATTCATTTTTATATTTTGAATATCATTAAATATTCGAATCGTCATATCTTCGTCCATACCCCTGATGACAATGGAAAGACTTAACATATCGACGGTGAAACTACCAAACCACGTATCTCGGTTTGCGACGTCGCAGACTTCCTGTCATACTTTATTTTTTAAATGAAAAACTACTTAACGACCAGTCTTGAAAATATCTGTGATTTTTCCTCTTCGTGCGGAGAAAATTCGGTGAAAATTTCAAGGAATGATATTGATCTGGTTTGTCTGGTTTGTCTGGTTTGTCTCTGGTGGTCTCGAGTGCGTGCTAAAAGAATGGAAAAAGAAATGCTCTGGTATGGGTGTCCCCTTGGGTGATCTCGAAACTCTGTTTACTCTGTGCTTTGCTGATGACCAGGTGGTGGTTGCTCAAGATCAAGATGACGCGGAATACATGATGCGCAAGCTAGTAGAAGAGTATCGGAAGTGGGGTCTGGAAGTCAGCATATCCAAATCTGAGAAGATGACTTTTGGCGGTGATCAGCAAAGCATTGAGTTGGAGGATGGGCAGCAGATCAAAGGCTGCGAGCACTTTAAGTACTTGGGAGTGCGGTTGACCCAGGATGGAAGGACGGATCAAGCTATCAGGGAAAGGAACACCTTAGCAAGGAAGGCTATAGCGATGTTAAATGGAATCCTCTGGGATCAGCGGATTTCCAAAGATAACAAGAGGAGGATATACAACGCTGTAGTCAAAAGTATATTAACATACGGATGTGAAGTTTGGCAGCTGAAGAAACGGACACAGGATATGCTAAGAGCAACGGAGATGGATTTCTGGAGAAGGTCAGCAGGAATTTCTAGGAGAGATCGGGTCCGTAATGATAGAGTGCGTCAGATAATGGAAGTCGAAAATGACATCGTGTTCGACGTCATGACCAAACAACTTGTTTGGTATGGTCATGTCAATAGGATGACGGAAGAGAGGCTGCCAAAAAAGATGCTTGATTGGGTTCCTCCTGGGAGGAGACGTAGGGGACGCCCAGTGCGAGGTTGGCGACAGGGGGTGTTAAATGAGATAAGAGATTGTCAACTCCCTGATGACCTGTGGGAAGACCGAGCTTTGTGGCGATTAGGCGTCGCACAGCGCCAAAGAGCGCTATAAAAGCGACTCATATATATATATATATTGATCTGGTCTACTTCAAAAAAATAAAATGCGAGCGTAGATTTTTAAACACCGCAAACGAGATATGTGGTTTGGTAGTTTCACCGTCGATATGTATACTGCACGTCACGGTGAGCGGAAAAATTGAAGGCTCTTTGATGTAACTACTCGTGCTTGAAGGTTGTCCATGTTGCATACACAAAAAAGTGCAGGCGTTCTACCTTCGTTGATCACAACGCAACGTTTCACTTCAATACTTGTAGATTTTCGTGCGTAAGCGAAGATTTATGTTGCACATACAATGGTGTTGACCACAATGAGCCTTGAAATTAGAATGAGCTGTGTAACGTCAAGGCGACGTTACCAAATGGTGCAGTCTGCATAGCGACGTTGTCAGTAATTACTTGCGGATCTGTTATTCACAATGATTGTGCAGGAACGCTCGTAGTAAAAAAATTCAAAAACTTTATTCGGCCTAAAATTGAGGGTAATGCCTAATCGTTGAAGATTCCAACGTTAAGAATTATAACCTCAGAAGAAACCACGAGTTCTAAGTATGACACAGTCGGTTAATTCCTACAGGGTGATCAAAAAGTCCGCACCACCCCCATTAACTTTTAAGCTAATGAAGCAATCGCATTAACACTTTGTAAATGTTCCTAAATCAAAATAAACTGCATACCTTCCCCCCTTCCCCAAAACATTTTAGGATACCTCCACGCATTCGGGGGGTGAGAGGGGCAAGGATTCCAACTTTATTTTTCAAATGGCAACCTCTATCTCCTCTATCTCACAAGATATGTTTATATACATTATTTTCATGTTTTACTCACAGTGAATCGCACCTTATAAACAGTGTCTACACAACGAATGCTGCGTGGGCTGTTATGGTAGGAGTCTCCAACAATACTCTGATGTCTTACTTAGCTGTCACGGTGAGATCTACTTTACTCAGGCATAACTAAGAAGAGAGCATACTTCTGTCGACTTCTATAAACGTCGCAGGCAATTAGCAATCACCGGCAATTTGCAGGGCGGTTCACACGTTGTTTCAATAAATCGCGATAATGCGCATCGGCATGATGCAATTTTTAAGGGTTATGGTCTTCAAAAGTATGAGCTCGGCTTGAAGTGCCTTCATTTTTTGTGATACTCTACGCTTTATCATGCTGCTAGTTTAGTTGCCTGTCCGATCTCGCCCAACTAATGTCACGGAGTTCACTACAAGCTCCTTCTGAGTGTTCATATTCCTCCCATGTTTTTAAGGATGGAAAAGTGGCCATTCACACTATAAGGCAACAAAATCAGCACTCTAATCTTGTTCTTTTCTTTTTGAATTTTAGGATTTTCTATATTCATTCACCACTGGCTTGTAAATTGCCGGCGATATCCAATTGTCTGCGACATATAGATGCATATAGATCGATCAGTTGGGCTATAAATTTTGCGATAAAGAACTACTATTTCTGGCTCATCCACAAAAGCACCTATCTGCACGTGGAAAATCAAAAGGGGAAAAAATAAGAACAGGAAGAGGAAGCAGGTGCAGAAGGAGAGCAAAGAGGAAAAGTGGCTGAGAAAGAGGAAGACGGAAATACATGTATATAACCGCTTTTATAGCGCTCTTAGGCGCTCTGCAACACCTAGTCGCCAAAATTCCCTATCCTCCCAAAGCCCCTCAGGGCGTTGGCACTCCCTCATATCCTCTGAAACCCCCTGTTGCCACCCTTTCTTTGGGCGTCGCGTCCCTTTCGTCTGCTCCCAGAGGAAACCCAATCAAAGGACTAAGATAGAGTTGAAAAGGGAAGATAATGAAATATAGAAAAAGAAGATGGAGGGAAGAGATGCTGGTCTCCCTCTAGAAATCCGTATTTGTCTCGAACCCTGTATCATCCTACATCCGTTTCTTAAGCTGCTGAACTTCGTATTCATGCGTTAAAATACCTCTCACCACAATGTCTTAAATTCTGCTCTTGTAGAGGATTTGTATCGATATCATCATTACAAATATGAAATAACTTCAACTTAATAACTTCATGACTTCTTTTTGTAGGAGTTGATGAGTTCTGGTGCAAGTATCCGAACGCTTATCCATGGTGTGATATTTTTTTACCACGCGTTTACTGGTACGTTCATGATGTACTCAACGAGTTACGCCGCCACCTTACTTCGGGAGGCGGTGAGTTGACATTGCGAATTGATCTTTACTTTGCTTGTAAGTTTTGGTCATCACGAATTTAGAGGGCCAAAATCTGTTAACCCTAAGCAGATCGTAAACCACCAGACCTCTGAAAGTGACGTTAAATGCGGTCGATAACCGAAACTTTATAATTAAAGACTAATGCACAAATTTATTAAATTTTCGCTCTAGTCAGAGCTAGTCACTGATTCCTATCGCATCACATCCAAGTATACTTTACCAGAGTATAAAATTGAAATTTTAAGGAGCGGGGATAAACTTAGACTGCATATTTGAAATCAACAGCAGTTGCCGGCTTTAAAGAAATAAATTGATTTATTAGAATGTAGGTAAAGATATTCGTTAATACTTACCACTATCACGATAAAATTATTTACTGAGCTTAATTATTTTTTGAGCATTCAGCTCATGCCTTAAGTCTACCTCTCACATTCAATTCAGTGTGTTTTTCCTCCGATGGATTGATTTCATGTTTGTCTAGATATAATAGGTAATCTTATTATTTTTTTTGAATTTCAACGTTGAATCTTAACAAAAATATCAAATTATTCATCTCCTTTTAGCATGTAAATCTGAGACATTCTCTTTACCGATGCGACTGGTTCTCAGAGAACTTGGAATTCAAGAAACTTTTCCTCTGTTTCAATTTGCCGATGTTCTGCCCTGTTCAGATTACAGTTCTTCGGGTTCAGCCTTACAATCTCGAAACTTTTTCGCTGGTAAGTGATAAGTCTTGGTTGAAACTACATCCACCAATTGGACGTATTTCTGCCAAACGGAACTATGTGCATTAAGACATGAGCCCTGAGACCCATTAGAATATATGCATAACAGAGCTCACTTCATAATGTACATAGTTCCGTTTGGTAGAAATACGTCCAATTCATATTACGCACGCGAAGGTGGACTCTGGTGCTTTTAACCGACATATTTCGTTCCTGAGACGACTAAATTGTCGTAGTGGCAATGTGTAGACAATCGCAACAATATGAAGGCACTTCAAGTGCTTTTAAAGTCCTTCACAAGTGAAAATTTCAGTGTGCCTTTAAAAAAGCCAACGAAAAGTTTGCTGTCCGCAGCAGCAGAGCGCTTTCTGTAAGGAGGGTTTCAGGATATTCCGTCAACGATTTTTTGTCCACGTACCTGTTTTGTCCTGTAGTTCATGTCCATACGTGAAGTAAGCAACAGTGACTTGGTCCAAGCGTTATACTTTAGTCCGTCTGTAAAATTATGCTGACAATATCGAAAAAATAAGAAAATTTAGAGAGAAGGAGGCGTTGTCATGGTAACTCATTTTTTCAATGAAACGCTACTTTCTCATTTTGATTCATCTGTTCAAATTGTCATTGGTGAATATTTGGTTTTACTTCTATCCTTATGCCTTATATGTACCTTTTTTCTAATGAAAATATTACTTCAAAAGCATTTACATTTTTAAAACGTGGCAAAGATTGTCCAACGGATGGCATCGATATCAATTAGCCGTAGTGGTGTTGAGAGGAGCTATACAAATATGAATGAAAGAGGGAAAAGAGGGAGAAGCACGCAATCTTTGGTTTTAACCCATGCGTGCATCGATCTTTTAGAGTCAAACACGTCTAATTTTGAGCGTTTAGTTGCTCGTGCACCACGTTTCAGCTCAGTAAAAGCACAAAATATTTAAAAAAAATTAAAGTGCTTGGGAAGTCATTAAAGTTGACACGGAGTTACCTTAATATATGCTAAACACATCATATTTTCCTTGGATACATATTTTTTTTTCTTCTTTTTTTTCCATCAATTCAAATGAGAACAATGCAAACATTCCAAAATCATAAGTTGAAAAACGCGGACTCCGCGAGTTTAAACATTACAGCCAAATACAGAGCGAAGCGGCGCGGCGTGCTGCCAGCGCGATGCGCGCATTGGCGCCTACAAACCTAACAGGGATACTTCACGCATTGCGCGATGCGCGCATTGGCGCCTACAAACCTAACAGGGATACTTCACGCATTGCGTGTCGCGTTGGTCGCCCTCGCCCGCCGCGCCGCCTCAAGAAACTATTTCGCAACAGAGGTGCTGCACAGTATCATACGATATTGAAAGCGCCAAACATACATATTAAGAATGACAGGCGTCCTATAAGAGTATGGAAATTTCCTTGCAAAATAAATCAAGATACTACGGCACAAAAAGATGCTAACTCTGTTTACTCATTGAAACGCTCTACAACAGCAGCCAGGAAAACAAGAAATGAACGTAGGCACGAGGCTGAGAATCGAAAACGATGCAAAATTTACACCATTAAAATTAGAGCTTTCAACCATATGGTAATAAAATTTGCGGAATTTTTGGACCATACTGATTTAAATCTCTAATAAATTTCTTTGTTACTAAAAAAATAACTGATTTTACCGGAGTAAAAATTTGGGAGAGCAAGTAGCGACAAGAGTTAGAAGAGTTTATGAGCGTGGAGAATGGACACCAGGTTTTTGCGGGAATTGGTTTCCTCTATATCTAGCTTCCATCGCCACGAACCGATTTAGGGTATTTTAATTTTAGTTTTTCATTTTTTCCGTTAATTACAGTTGATCGTGCCTGGTAAATTGGTTGAAATTTCCAGTGTTTTTATCATTGAATATTTGATATTGATATGGATATTTTTATTTCATCGGCAAAATTCAGTTATTTAAGATACATCATTTTGAAGCTCAAGTCACATGATTTTACTTTTCCTCATTCCAGAATCTTTCAAGAGCGTTTTCCTACGTACGGTTTCTCCTGCAACTTTCTAGGACCAGTTAAGGATTTCAACAGTTTCGAGATACCTCTGTGAAATTTGACTGCTTGACCAAATTGCCAGTATGACATCGACGATGAATTACAGAACTTCCAAAAAAAATCGTCAATTTGTCGCGTTATCACTAATGATATCACTACCTCTGTACAACTGATGGAACTGCGATCAGTGGCAAAGCGTTTATGATCTATTATCGATATTTCCCTTTGTGAATCTGTGGTAAAGAATCGGTTTTAAGGTGTTCATTGCGAGCACCCTGTTTATCGATCGTTTTCCATAGCGACGGTGTAAGTCGGCAATCACATAAATCGGTTTGCGACGTCGCAGACTTCCTGTCATACTTACTTTATTTTTTAAACGGGAAACTACTCGACGGCAACTCTTTAAAACTGCCGTGATTTTTCTTCTCGGTGCGAAGAAAATTCTGCAAAAACTTCAAGAAATAATGTCAATTTGTTCTCCTTTAAAAAAATATAACATAGAGGCGGAGATTTTCAGTCACCGCACACGAGTTATGTGATTGCCGACTTACACCGTCGATAGGTTCAAATAGCAGATCAATCCAGTGGCGTAACTATATATCCTCGCGCGCCCCCGCCGCACAGTGGATTGAGTCAATTCGAGAGGTCGGACATGAAATTTTTAACTAAAACTGCAAATTTTTGTGTTTATTTCGTCACATTTTACATTTCAAGGGGTGCTTTACAAAGAAAATTTCACGAGGAAACCAATGAAACCACTTTTAGAACCTCAAAATGTTGTATAAACGGAGTTATCGGCGTTTAAAATTTAAAATTTTGTCCGACCTTTCCTGTTGACTCGATCCACTGTGCGCCGATTCGAGGCTGCGCCCTTTCATCCCGTTTTTACTTATCAACAGCTTTTTCAAAAGATGGAAAGAAACAAAAGATATAATCTTCCATTCATTTTAATCGAAGTAACTTTAAACTTAACTTGAGTAGAAAAAACCACAAATAATTGTATTGCAAATAATTGAGCATTTGAGTAAGTTACAGAAAAATCCGCTCTCCTCGGCTTTATTTCAGGTATTTACTCTGGGGAGGGTCTCTTAAAGCACATTGACTAGCCCTCAGGGTGGGAGAGCTGATCTCGCCCTGGAGCTGGGACGGTTTGAGGTCTTTTCGAGGTTGTAACTTTCAGGGGTCTGGTGGCCTTACGCACAAACGCAGAGATCGTGTTAGTTTTCGGCTCTGATGAGGATCTTGCCATTCTCGACTTTGCTACACTCTGCGTCGCATCCGAACGAGCAATCGCAACGTTCGCATCGGATGAGCTCATACTCCTAGAAAGAAACCAGCATTCCAATGAACACAACATATACCTATACAATACGCATGGTCAAGAGTAGCATAGAAAAAGAAAGGAGGTGTTTGCATTTCGGGAATCTTGGAATTTTTTGATGACTTGATGACGTGGGTGGGTACAGCTACGTTTAGCGTGAAGGGGACGTCGCCGTACCCACCTACGTCATCAAGTCATCAAAAAATTCCAAGATGCCCGAAATGCAAACACCTCCTTTTTTTTCTCTATGCAAGAGTAGGCAATCTAGATCACCCTATGATTGTGCCGTCGTACTGTTTCGAAGCGAATATAAGGTATCAGCTGGGGCTGAATGATTACGTAGGTATTATACGTATGGAGAGTTAAGGCCATATTAGGGCCAAAGTTACTCCCTAAATAGCTCTTTTTCTCATGCTCTATAATTCTAAATTGATGGTGAAAGTGCAGAAGTGCGTACCTCGGAAAACACGATTTTCCAGGAGAATAAAAAAACTGTCTACATTCCTCCTGTCAGTACCTGGGTAGAGGGGTAATAATTTCTCGAACTGGTAGAAAATACGGCAGAAACGTCGAGATTCGCGTATTCGGCACTAAGAATCGGACTGCATTTTGCAATTTGGAACTATAAATTCTGGCTCTTCTGGAAAAACACTTATGTGCATGGAGAAGCTAATGGCACATACGTTGTTTTTAAACCGGGCTAGAAGCTATAGTTTCAAATTGCAAAGTGCAGTCCAGTTTACACTTTATCTTGAGATAGGTAGGTACACATTTTTGCAATTAGTGTTTCAAACCTGTTGTTGGCGGATATTGATAATTCAAAGACTGAAAAAAGCTAGTTTCACGCTTACAATTCCTTATCAGAAGCTTTAGTTTGATCTCATAAAGCCAGAGCAAGCATTGGATGATTGGAAAATGGCATTTGTTCACGAGATACGCATTTCTGCAATTAGCGATTTTAGCGTCGCGCAAGCCGGCGAAGGAAGTGCGGTCGAGCGTCGAGTCATCTTCACAGTGTGATGCGCCTTCAATCCAGCGAGCGGCAATGTGCGTATACCTGTAGTCGAATAGTTATCGAAAATAACTCGCTGCGAGTTATTTGCGATAAGTATGCGATGCGAGAGTCTCGCATTGCGTTTGGTGCAATGCAAGAAGTATTCATTCAGTCTTGCAGGCGCTTATATGAGTTTGACGCAACGAAAACTATCGAAATCAACCTCTACCGAAGATGTTAACGTTTTTATTGTCTATTGGTAACGAGAAATTTGAATTGCCCGGTCACAAAAACAAAACCGTACGCGAGTCAAATTGCGCACTACACCGGCTTTAGCAAACTACTCAATCGAGCATTCTCTCTTTGGCACACTGCGTTGTTCAAAGTGTGTACACCTTGAGCTGAGCGTCAAGATTGAGGTTGCCATGTTTTCATATCACTGAGACTGTCATAGTGAAGTTAGGCGTGCAATTTAACCCAAGTAAATCATCCTTTCTTCCATGAGCGGAAAGGTTGAATTTATTCATGAAAAATGTAATTACCACGGTTAGGAGTTAAGGCTCAGGATTTCGATCCTTCGAGCTCAATGTCGAGAGATCGATATCCTCGTCGCCTATTGGTGTTCACACCGCGAGCCCGCAATTCTGAGATTGAAGGATTGTGGATAAATTGTCCGGTTTTTTTTTTTTTTTTTTCACTCATTTTTTCAATTTTTTAATTGAAAAAGAAGCTAGCTTGATAGCTTGACATACATATCGACGGTGTAAGTCGGCAATCATATATCTCGGTTGCGGTGTCTGAAAATCTCCGCCTCTATGTTATTTTTTTAAAAGAGAACAAATTGACATCATTCCTCGAAGTTTTTTCAGCATTTTCTTCGCACCGAGAAGAAAAATCTCGGCCGTTTCAAAGAATTGCCGTTGAGTAGTTTTCCGTTTAAAAAATAGAGTATGACAGGAAGTCTGCGACGTCGCAAACCGAGTTATGTGACTGCCGACCAAGATCCATCCATATAGGTCAGTCATTGCGCAGATTTCCCCGCTCGGGGTAAGCCCCTTTCCATTGGCTCGTGACGTCAGCATTACTGCCGCGAAAACCAGAAAAGTCGGAAACAATGCTTTTCTTATGGGAGAGAGCAAATTTTTCTTAATGAATCATTTAAATTTCTTACTTTTAAATCCTTTGAAACTTTCTGTGTGTCGAAAAGAACGTTTAGACATTAGCATTCAGGGTTTCGATTTTGCCGAATTTGTGTTCTTTCATTTTTACAGTTTACTCTGCATCAGCCATTTTTACACGCGAATCTATACCACTAGATGGCTTGTTACATCGCTGACTTCAAAAATCATTTAAAAATATAAAAACGCAAATTCAGCTAAATTGAAACCCTTGACGCTAATTTCTAAACGTTCCTTTCGACACTCAGAAAGCTTCAAAGAATTTAAAAGTAAGAAATTTAAATGATTCATTAAGAAAAATTTGTTCTCTCCCATAAGAAAAGCATTGTTTCCGACATTTCTGGTTTTCGCGGCAGTAATGCTGACGTCATGCGCAGAAGATTCTCATTTGGGTTTCGGGAATGACTGACCTATATGGATGGATCTTGCTGCCGACTTACACCGTCGATATATAATCCTACGAAAGGAGAAAAAAAATCAAGATAGTTTTAAATAAATTAAGTTGAAGATGGCAGGGAATTTACGCTTCCGCAACGTCACATAACGACGGTGAAACTACCAAACCACGTATCTCGGTTTGCGACGTCGCAGACTTCCTGTCGTACTTTATTTTTTAAATGAAAAACTACTTAACATCCAGTCTTGAAAATTTCTGTGATTTTTCCTCTTTGCGCGGAGAAAATTCCGTGAAAATTTCAAGGAATGATATTGATTTGGTCTACTTCAAAAAAATAAAATGTGAGTGTAGATTTTTAAACACCGCAAACGAGATACGTGGTTTGGTAGTTTCACCGTCGATAAGGAGATCCGTAGCTTCTCATTTTGGTCATCGATTTGCTTATATCTCGTTCAAAAGCGAATCTGAACTTCCCGTTGTGTGAATGTAGTTAATTTAAGGACAATTTTGAAGTACGCTTCCGCCGTAAATCCATCATCCACGGCGATTTCCATGACGACAAACGCCTGGGGCAATCGAATCATCAGCTGACCGAAAGAAAAGCGCCCGGAAATTACGAAAAAAATCGCGCATCTCCTGACGGGATGAACGAGATAACGCGAACTCTCACAGGCAGCAAGGGGTGCGGGACCCGCCACGCGATTCCCTCTATTTTTCCGGGACGGTCAAGCCGGTAGGTACCACACGTGCCCGGATTGGCCCGGCGGTCCCCGCTGAATTTTGATCCGAAGGATCGAGCTTACGAAATGATTTGGAAAAAAAAAAAAATGAAAAAAATGGGGAACAAAATGACTGACCTCTATTCCCAAGATAATTGATAATATTATGCGGTTGTAAAAACGGAATTCACTTTCTTCGTTTTACACTTTGGGGAATATTGTTTCATTCGGAAATCGCAACTACTTTTAGCTGATGATGTCACTAAAACAACCCTAATTTGAAATGATTACTTACGTTTTGGAGTTACAGGCGATCCAAAAATACTCTGAGGATAGGCTTGTGAAAAAGCAAGTTACTTTGTAAACAACTGAACACTCTAAAATGTTATATGGAACATACCTTGAAATTGATTGTAATATTTCTTTTTTAAATGTTTTTTTTTATTTTTTTTATTTAAATGATGTCTTCAAAAAACCTTGGTTGCGCTTTTGTTTTCTGGGCTTGAGGTTAAATCATGTCCAATTTTTGTAAGAAATTGAGGTTATTTTTATCATCCTGAATTTATTTATCCTTTTATTTATCCATGGCATAATGAGGAAACAGAATTGTTAGATATTGGTTCCTAGGAAAAGTATAATATTGAGGAGATGTATCGAATAATCAGCAAAAATAGAAAAAAATATGTTTCAGATGATAAACATTATAACTTAGAAAATATAGCAGAAATGATATTTAATGATGAAAATATTATTTGAATTCTGAGAATTCAGATTGGAAAAATGAGCAAAACAATGATGATTATGACATTTTTGATAATAACAATAAAGAGAATAAAAATTATGAACAAAATACAATTAGAGGGACATTTCCAAACATTAAATTTAATGAAAGTGACAGTGAAATTTTAAGATTACTGAACACTGAGCAAAAATATTTTGCTCTACAAATCTTGCACGATTACGGATTTAAAAAACCCCATTTCATTACTTTTTGTCTGGTCTTGCAGGCACTGGAAAAAGTCATCTTGCCAATGACATAGTAAAATTAGTGACAAATCATTTAAATTCGATAAAAATTCAAAATCATCATTAAAATTAGTGACAAATCATTTAAATTTTTCAACTGGTGAGCAACATGGTGCTTTGAAAGTATTAACTGTTGCACCAACAGGAAAAGCTTACTTTCTGATTAAAGGCACTCCACTTCACCATGCCAATTAATCAATTCATAGGTCCTACTCCAGTTTTAAGTGGAGACTTTGTGTCCAAAATAAGATTGAATTTCAAGTCAATCAAATTACTCATCAATTACTCAGTAGCCGGTAATGTAGGATATGGAGCGTTCAAAGCGAAAACTTCAAGCCACTGACAGTGAGCCTATGAAAAAGAAAACTAGAAACTCAGCGGTTATTTTGAGTGATGATAAAGATACTGAAAAGGTCATCATAAAGAGGAGTCAGCAAATTGCAAATTGTACATCATCTTAAAAATATGTAAAATCAGGTGTTAAAAAAAAATGTCACAGAAGAAAGAGATTGCAAGAGGAAATCTCAGATTGAGAAACCTAAAATACTGAAAATACTGCAAACAAAGCAGGAGCAGTAGGCACATCAATTGAAAAGGTCATTTCAAGTGATGATAGTGACACTGAAAAGCTTACTGTAATGGCGAGTCCTCAAATTGCAAATTTGAAATCATCTTTAAAACAAGTAAAATCTGGTGTTAAAAACAATGACACAGAAGAAAGAAATTCCAGGAAGAAATCTCAAATTGAGAAACCTAAAAAATACTGATGAAGTTTCCATGCTGGGGAAAAAGAGATTCTGACAAATAAATACAGGCTCCAACAGATATTTGGCAATGACTGAGATTTAGGTAATATATCAATAATACTAGTTGGAGCTATTACGCCATTAGACAGCTAAAGCCAGTTTTCAATATTAGTTTTTTTTGACGTAGAGCACAATTAATCACAATACCTAGGCATTGATTTATCATACAAGAAATTTAAGTATTTTGAACTAAAATGATCATGCGCCAGAAAGATGACATTCTGTTTTGCATTGCTTTGACACATTTTGGTGAAGGAAATATGACTGATACTGATTTAAAACTCTTCAATTCTAGGAACTTTGAAAAGAAAATGAGGAATACTACCTATTCATTTATTTGTAATATTTGATTATAAATCAGTTAACACTCACAATTTTAATATTTTAAATAAAATAGATTCTCAACTACTTGAAAGTTTAGCAATTGACACTGTTAAAGATACAAGGTCTGACACAGAAAAAAATAAATTCTTAGAAACACATAAAAAAAACACAGAACGCAAACTCAAGGATTATCATACAATTTATTGCTCAAAGAAACCAGCAATTACATGATATTTAAAAATATAGATATTAATGATGGGCTAGTTAATAGTTCTGTATGAATATTGAAACACATGGAAATATAGAAAATAGCATACCAACAGAATTTTTTTTTTAAATGTGAAGATCATTCAATTGAAAAGATAGCAAAAAGAAAAGCATCAAACTATGACAATGAAATTTTAAAGGGTTGGGTTCCAATCAGGAGACATGAAGTGCCTGTTAATAATATTAAATTGAGGATTTTGTTTAGTGAGATAATAGAGCTGCACACCTAAAAATCACTGGTTTACATAGTAAAAAAAGTCGACTTATCATTGATAGTTTGGTCAAGAAGACTTCAGTGAACAATTTGATGATAATATTGAAACTCCTGGCTCTATCTGACGAGATAAACACTGCCCTTAATACAACTGCTAAAATATGTTGCCAAAAGTGGCGACTGTTTGCGCTCAATGCGCCTACTAAAAAGAGAGTGCGTGGGTCTTGGCGAGACCACGGCGAATTAGAGTTGGTTTTTGCGCCGGCAGCGCGTAAAAACCCAAAGGGGATGGCCCCTCCGGCTACTCCCAGGTGAAACACCCGAGACGTAGGATGACGCTCGTAAAGGGGGAGGGGGGGGGGGCGTCAGCCTGTTGAGTTGCCTCAAAAGGGGGGGGGCGATGTGCTCGTAGTCTCGGAACAGGGCGGCCCGTGACGCGGCTCAGTGGAGTCTTCGTCCGGTACTGTCGCAAAAGAATAGCCATCGGGGTGTTCATTTTCAGCCTTTAAAGTCTCACATTATTAAATATTATCATAATGAATTATATTTTTCAGCACAGATAAGTTTAGAGCCATCATTCCTCTTAATCTATCAACTTGGTTCTCAATTGTTCTACGTCCTAAGTCGTTAATAACCTTTGGGGACACGACAATTACTTTTATCGTGAAGTCATCCATGTACGATAAAGATATTCTCAGAGAAAAAAGGGAGTATCAGACTAAAAAAAATAAACTAAAAGGTAAAATTTACAATGCTACAGTTTGAAAACTGCTGTATAAAATAAGTAAGACTATTAATGCTAGCTAAGAATCATGTAAAACAATCGTATAAATGTAAACATTTGAATAAAAAAAACCTCAATCACAGATTTCTTCGTTTTTTAAATCTTATAATACTCTTTACCATGTTCTAAGTTACTGGGTCAACAGTCCTTCAGGCAAGCACAATGATACGCTGTCTGAAATTAGATCAATATTTGGGAAATACTAAATCGCTTCCGCAAAAAGAACATTACTTTGGCAAGTATTTCTCTGTTTCACCTATTTTTCTCGTTTTTGTCGCAGATCTCTGGTCTTCAGTTTGCATCTTAATTGGGTTGCACTTCAAATTAAAGAACCCATATTTCTGACTCATTTTAGAAGCAATATAAAATTATCTCATCAGTTTCCCTGAGCATGTGTACATGAATATTCTCACAGACAATGTTCATGGACGAATGAGGAAAAAAGGTGCTCCATCAAATAGACCCACTCATAGACATAGAAACTTATGTAGGAAGAGGAAGTATTTATTCAAGAGCTTTGATGTGATTACGAGTATACATGGAAAATTGTGCTAAAATGGTTCCATAAAAAGTTATTTCTACTTTTGAATAGGAAATACATCACATGAACCAATAAAGATGCCAGTAAATAGTTAGGAGAAAAAAGTAAAAAAAAGTAAAAATAAATAAGATCAGATCAAAACACACCATAAAATCTGAAGTTAAAAACCAACCAAGGAGCATTTTGAAAATGAAGCAGAGCAGTGGACACATTTGAATCAAAATTCGGATCTAATACTGAGAGAGGATACGGAGCAGAATCGAATAGTATCGTCACAGAATATAAAGGCATATATAGGCTTAGCCTGTATATAGGCGTATATAGGCTTAGCCTGTATATAGGCATATATAGGCTTAGCCTGTATACAGGCATATATATACTTAGCCTGTATATAGGCGTATATAGGCTTAGCCTGTATATAGGCGAATATAAGCTTTCCTAGCCGGGAATTCATGAGAGGACCATCGCGGAGCTTTTCTCCCTTAAGTTCCGCTTGATATTTGAAATATTTGAATCGCCATGTTAGCCTGTACATAAGAATATATAGGCTTAGCCTGTACATAGGCGTAAGAAAAAAAAATTACGATACAATATAAATAAGAGTGGTGAGAAAAAAAAGAGATTTGTTAAAAAAAAACACCAAAAATGCAAGGAAGAGACTTTCCTCCCATCAAGGCTGAGCCTTATACCAAATAGGATCTGCTTTAATTAAAGCATCATTTTCTTAAAAATGTAAAACGACAGTAATTTTTAGGTGTTTCACTAGTTGACTATCACCATAGACTTGCCACCCATATGTCTCCTATTTAAATACTTGGCACCACTTATCAACTAATTTGGTATTAGTTCAAACCTCATACAACAAGGATATGGGAAATCTACAGAGGAGGTGAAATTAAATCACTTTGTGTGTATTGCAGGTACAGCGTCTGATTCAAAGAGATGCTCCTAAAGAGGCCCTGAAGGAGGGGCAAGCATTTGTGGAAAGGCTTCATCGAGCCAGTTGATGAGACTGTGCTCTGGCATACCGGATGCAGTAAAGTGGTCTTCGAGGAGAATCTGAGAATATTTTGTGTGCATTGCCTGTGCTTCGTTCTCATTGACAGGGTCGTGACACATTCTATATAAATCTGAAAAAATTCAGAACAAGCATTTTTAATTTTCTAACAAAACACAAGGAGACTCTCGGATTTGTCAAGCAATTATAATCTAAAAAATATTTATTCATTGGCATTGAAATAAAGTCATGCATCACCTTTAAGCAACTTGTCGCTGGCAATGACCGGGGCTGAATAGCCAAAATATGTCCAAATAAATTAGAAATTCGATTTACAAGACCCGAGATTTACCGGATTTATTATGCCCAGTGACAAAATTTTAGCTCCAATCGACAGCTTTTCCTGGAAAAGTGCAGAATTATTTGCAAAATTCCACACTGCTGTCGCACAATTGGTAACTCTACTGATCATAACTCATAGGCACCGCAATCTTATGCATTACGCGCCAATAACGATGATGGCATGACGTCACCTTCCAGCCAAAGTATTACAAGCATCGCTGATGCTTCAAAATTTCTGCCCCCATTTTATTCTTTTACATAGAAATTGTTGATTTAATCTGTTTGAAAATTTCACTGAATTTCAGCGGCAGACCAAAGAAAATTCAGTACAATTTTCGGACAGCTTCGTTGAACAGATCCTCTATGAATAAAATAAAATGGCAGCGGAAATTTTTAAACGTCGCATGGCGCTTGTGATACTTCGGCCGGAGGGTGACAATGTGTTCGAGCCTGGCCGGAGGGTGACAATGTGTTCGAGCCTGGCCGGTGATATCAGCTGAACAGTATACCCTCAAAAATACGCCGAATGGACGAGGGAAGGAGGAAGAGAGAGGAAGAAAAAAAAGAAAAAAAAAAAAAACAACTTAATTTTGAAATTTTTCCACAAATTACACAGCATAAACGTGAAAAGAAACATCCAACTTTGTTTGAAGCTTCCCTCGCATAGTACACAGAATTGATGCAAAATTTTCTTTTTTAAGAAATCGGACCTCACATTTTGGCATCAAAAACACATTTTCCGATTCACCAGATTACTCAATTGACCACATTTCCCGGCAGTTCCCCACGAATCCGGCAAGTTGAACTTCTACTGTAGTTCTATTTTAATGCACATGAGTGAACATGTTTTAGGAGTTCTCAACTGCTTGAGTCTCCTAACAGGCTGCTTCTTCACTAACTTAACAAATCTTGCATTATTACAATAATTCCACATCCCCCNCAAAAAAAAAAACAACAACAGGTAGCGTGAGACCATTGAGGGAAATAAACTTGCAGTTAAATCCTCTCTACATTCAGACACAATAAGTCATTACCAAATGCAGTTTGAATTTAGATAAGACACAGTTTATAGGGGAAAAAAGTCAACATACGCTTGGTGTTGTGTACTGATGCAAAATAAAACTTGTATTGAGAACCTGCCGACAAGTTTTTAATTAATTCTAAATCATCTACGCTCACTATATATTAGATTCTCATGTTGAAGGCAAGAGAAAGTAAAAATTAATTTTTCACTACATAAGTTCTGCGAGAAAAATAAGTTGAGGGCAGATGAGGAGAATGAGGTTCGAAGGGAGAGGCTATTACAAAGGAGTCACGAACACACTCCTTAATTTCTATTGAAATGGTTGAGGACTAGAAAAAATTAAAGCTTCGGCAAATGAATATTCAAAATTAAAGAATTTTAATCTTCAGCAATTCGATCCACAGAATCAAAACTGATAGCGACTTTGAATGAGATGACACCAACGATTGACCAATAATCTTATAGGTCCAGACGAACACATTTGTTAAAAGAAAATCCGTCATTTCAGAATTCAATAATTTCAGAGCGTGCAAACTTAAACTTGGGAAGAATGAAAACAAGGATAAACTTAAATGTACGCATTCTTGTTTTTCCCCCTTCCTTTTTTTTTTTTTTTTTTTTTCATTTATCATGCTTCATTGGGGAAAAGTGGAATACCTTTCAAAATTGCAGATGCCCAGAGTTGGATGTGGAGATCGGGAATTTTGCTGGCCAAATGCATTGCAGGTTTGACCATGTTCATGCTGTCGTTGCTATTTTCTAATGATAGGTATATTTGGCCCAAGAGAACTAGCGAACAGGAGGTCAACCTATTCAAACCTTCTGCATTGGCAAGACTCAACATTTCTCGCAAATACCTCCTGCAAAAAGTGAAAGAAATAAAAATTAGAACGATATGAAAAAGGAGGAAAAAGTGAAAGAAGAACATCAATACCTCACCAAAACTTATAATCACTGTGCATGGGAAAGTAGGTTTTGTTGGAAAAAAAATAAAAACAAAACCAAAAAACTTTTTCAACACTTTTCTGAAAAATTCAGTACTTCTCTGGTATGTTCGGTGACAGAAATTGAGAATTCAATATTTAGGAGCGAATTGGGACATAAATGCCATAGCCAAGAATTTCAAATTTCATTTGTAGGCTCAAGATTAATCGGCTGCACAATAGCGATCTACCGGGCAAATACTGCACTCAGAATCAATGCGCAAGGGAATGCATGATTTTCACCCTGTCTTAGAAAATACGCAGGACATGAAGCAAAAAAATTCGGGACCTCTGTGCGGAATTTCCGTATTTCTCTCATATGTACTTGTGGACCATCCTCCAAAAAACAGTAGTTTTCCGTGACTCTCCAGATTTTCTGAATGAGTACCTGAAGACCATGTAAAAGTGACCGTGTAAAGGATTACCACTTGTGTGGTATTTGAAGTAGTTAAAAAAAAAAAAAAAGTCACCTTCAAAAAATCTGGTTTTAGGGCAATTCCTACAGCATGCGAAAATCCCATTCTTGATAAAGCGATCAACAAAGCGATGCATTAAATATGTTTTTGCAAGGGTAAACTTACTTGGCTTCATTGTGCTGACCCTGAAAGAATGCTTGAAGTCCCTGCACATAATACGCTGCAGCTTGCAGACTAATTTTTGTTCCTTGCTTTTTCAAGGCCTCCGGACTGATTCTCGGTGCTAAAGTAGCAAATTGTTGGTCGAGCCTTCCTCTCAGGTACATGATTGCTAAATTCAGATTTGCAAACGTCCACAAGTCTCGATCTTTTGAAGACTGGAACACACAAACGATATGTACACTGAAGTATTTTTCAGGAACGCTACCAAAAAAAGGTTAATTTGCAGCTGGTTCCAATGAGTAGCTGCTCTGTTCTCAGGATATGCCAACAGATCATCAAGAACTTCTTTTTGGGCTGAGAAATCTTCTTGGAGAACCTTGGGAAGGTGACGTTTTAGGGTAGCTAATCCTAAAATAATGAAGTGTCTTACAATGTTTACTTGTCCCTCTAACACCCTGTTACCTTGAAGCGTCGGAGTGGTGGAGGGGCATAGTCATCCATGGTCACGATGACTGATATTTGAGTGTCCTCAAATATCATATAAATACCCATAAATATCAATCACCTTTGGGGATTGAACCTGGGACCACAGTGTTGGCAGCGAACTGCCTTGACCACTACACCACTGATGCTGACTTGATTATAAAGTAGCTGTGTTTAAAGCAACTATAGTTGTGGTATACTTATATCATAGATGGTCTCTTATCCCTCAGTCTTGCCATAGTCAGGTATTATTGGTCAAAGATTAGAGATCACCACAACTGTAGTTTCTTTGAATAAAATATCAATCTTATATTATCTACCTTTGATACAACTATGTTAAAAATATTTGTTAATATCTCATTATGATTTGATTTCTAAACTTTTATATCTGTGAATCGTATTCGAAGACTAGTGAAACCGGTCCAATTGATGAGTTGAATAGATTTTAACAGGAAATTGGGGTCTACCTGTAGGACCGATGAGAATTGAGCCTCGGCTGCTTCCATGCAGTTCATAGACATGGCATAAAGTCCTAGTAACGTGTGCAACTGTGGTTTGTGAAGCATCATCAGCCGAGGGTTAGGCTGACATAACTGAACGGCCTGCGCTATTTCGTTCAAAGCTTCTGCCTTCTCACCCATGACCAGTTGACACATCACCATGTGCTCCAATAGCTGAAGTTGAAATGTAGCAAAACTGGGCTTCTCATCTGAAAACATGAGTAGTCAAATAAGTTTCTAGGTGGGGGGGGGGGACGGACAGATATTGAAACACCGAGGTATTTGGACGATTGCACGTGATCCTAGGATAGATTATCTACTTCTGAGCCAATAATTAAACTTAAAAAATGCAAGCCTCTTTTATTGCTCTTTAGATCCTTATTTAAACTTGCTTCATTTTTCCCGGGCAAATATACATATAAACAGTAGACCCCTCCCGGCTTTTGATAAGAAGAAGGCCCTAGATGAGCCCATTCTATTAAGATAATNGGGGGGGGGGGGGGGGGGGGCTTTAATTTGAAGGTACAAAGCGCCCTTCACCTTCTGAGATTAGGCTGCGTAGCGGCCTGGGCATGTGACTCCCTAGAATTAAATACATCATTAAAGAGGGCTCTAGAATTAAATACATCATTAAAGAGGGCTTACAGGATGAATATTAAGATAGACATACAGAAAATTAAAGATCATACTCACGCTTTAACCTCTCAATCTCCGAGTACACTTTGGTAGCATTTTTGTGAGCTCTGTCCATATACCCAGCCTGCATACTGTGCATTACAGTAATTAAATAAACGACTACTTTTAGATGAGTCTTTGGCATCCAGATAAAAGCATCTCCAACATTGGGTCCGCACACCACTGGGAATGGATGAATGAAAAAAAAAAAATGTTCAAGTACATGGTAAAATGATGACACACACACAATTAGTTCCATGACTGTGAACACAGTCCATTGAAAATCAACTTTTGCCTTTTGTCCAGAACATTTCATAATTGAGACAATACTTTACTTTTTATTCATCTGTTTTTTTATTCCTGTCTTTTCCCAAATAATTCAAATGGAGCTTATAAATTGTTGTAAATCAAAACTTGATCAATCCATACTGGCTGAATTCCATCCATCTGTTACAGTTACGTCTCTGCATAGTATACAGATTAGTCTCAACTTTGGCCCTTAACATCATCAGCGGCATCTCTCTCACCTAGCTTCTCATTGAAGAGAGATTTAAATTGAGGCTCAAGGAAGAAGACAAGTCTACAGTAGAAGTGTCTATCAGCAGCAGTAACGAAACTACGGAAGTCTGGCTAAAGAGACTACTGACGAACCTACTAACAGGGAGATGCCTGGCTAACTAGAAAATTTGGAGAGGTGGACTTCTATCTCACGCAACTTTTTACGGGCCACATCACCTTCAAGGCCTATCTTTATCGCTTCAAGATTTCCATTTCTCCTCACTGCCTGGCTGCCCTCCACACTCCAGAACATACCATATTCCGGTGTAGAAACTTCACCCCAGAGAGAGGACGACTGAAGCAGTCAACTTGAAGAATCTTCACCATAGACAGCTTCCAAAGGACTGTGCCTGAGTCACGCAGAAACTAAAGACTTGTCCAGGACTATGTCAAGCACATCTTGGAGTCAAAAAGAGTAATTCTGGACCAACTCATGGCCGACAAATACCAAATGGCAGATACCGGTAAAGTCATGACCAACAGAGGCGCTTAGTCTCCAGTTCCTGTGTGCCTCAGTCACAGTGCTCCCTTTAATTTTAAGTAAATTTTTAGACTTAATGTTTTATCTTCACACTTCATAGAAACCTGTAGACCTCATGTTAATACTTAATCAATGGCAATAAACAAAGAAAAAAAGTAAAAAGCGACTGAATTCCTTCTGAATATTTACATTAGTTATCATTCATGAGAGCGAGAATGAAAATAATCTATACACCAGATACTTTAACTGTTGTTAGGAATTGCCTTGACTTAAAAATGTCTCAAGTCGCTTGTCTTTTTTAAGATCATTTTAATTGAAGCTTTTACACGGATATTTAAAGTCCAGGTAGATTGAAGGGCGTCTTTGAAGGTTTTACAATTAGACAAGTTAATTTTTTCTACATTGCGTCTTGGCAGAATGCCTTTCTGGAAACAAAATTATTTATTTTCAATAACTTTCAAAGTAACTTTTCATAGCAATTTAAAACTTTCAAAATCTTACTTTCATCAGTTGGTCCCATGGGTCCAATGATATTCTGGATACTTTGTTGAAGTTGTTTCAAACATGGATCTACACTCTTCACCTGTCCTGCAGCTAAGAACAGACCGACCTGAAATTTAAAAAAAAATATCGGTTAAAAAAAAGGGACAAATGAGGCTCCTAACATTATGATGAGATAATGCATCTACATCAGCCAGCAACAGAGTACGATAAATATTGTTTAAGACACAGCACAAAAAAAAAAAATAATTAAATAAGTAGACACTTAAAAAATTTACTGCTAATCTGGTTATTTGAGGGCGTCTGTACATTTTACCACGCGAGAAATTGTGTTTATGGGCCCTTTCTTCCATTGTCTTGCAATTGTCGCTCAAGTCTGAGTCTCTTGAAAAAATTACACCATACTGCTTTTTATCAACTCCCCTTAAAAGGAGGAGGTGCATTAAAAACCCATGCTATGTGACTAAATTCGTTGATGGGACTAGCAATACATGGGAAAAATGCAGAAAGACCAAAAATAAGAAGAAAAACATCTTGAGATGAGGTCCTTAGAACGTCCTATTTTGCTTCTGAATAGGCAAGTAATAAAATACATCTAAAAATTCTACAGAATTGTATCCTATGTCTGATGTGTTTGCTCTATAGTAAATTCCTCGACCATGCCCTATTTGCTGCACGGACAATGAAATGCGCTGCTTTGAAAACTTTAAATGCGATTTCCTTAAAACTTAAAAACCTGACATCCACTATTTATACATATAAGTCTTCATATGTTTCCTATGGTTGGATATATTTTATAAAAAATCCTACAACAAAAACATTAATCTTACCTGAAGAACAAGGAAAAATACTCTGAGATATTCTTTCTGGTACTGGTTCCCTTGCCAATTTTCAATTAGCATTCCAGTTTGCACCAGCATCGGACTAACTTCTGTCAGCTTCTTTTCAGCCAGTAAAAGCTAAGTGAAATTGAAAAAAAAGTCAACATCAGGAGGTTTGGAAAACCATATAGGTAACATAAAAAATGATGACGCCAAAGTGGAGCTGTCCGGTTAGATTTCAGAATTCGATTGTGATTAAAATTAGGGAAAAATCAATGATTACCATATATTTTTCGCTCCAATAACCAAAAAAGTTAACCATTTTAGACTTGAATTAAATCTGGCGAAGGAAGAAATTAATTTTTTGTTTTTCAGGGTCCTAGGCACCTGCATAGCATATTCTGAAGGTTTTAGAATTTTCCTGTATGTGGTTACAATAAATATAGTATGTGCACTAAGGTGTACGTCAGGTCTCTAATGTTCAAGATTTAGTGTCCACTGTGATGCACATCAGGTCACAGATAATGCATTAAAAGCAAATAAGCCATTTTATTGCGAGTAAAATTTGGATTGCATGGAAGGAACTTGCGAGACGCGAAACGCGTGAATTACATGGCACATTTATGGCAGCTGGCAACTATTTTGAGGTTACTAAACAATAACACCTGAGTACCAACGTTTAATATTTGAGACCCGACGTACACCACAGTGCTCATGCACTTTTCCAGGATTTTCCGGGTGTCTTTTTCGAGTATCTTCATTAAACTTTGTGTAGAGCCTGATCTAGCCCTCTTTCATGACAGAATTACTTTTTTAACCCCATATCTTCATTGGGGCTCACACAAAAGAATGGCGAAGTTGGACATTTTTTCCCCCAAAATTTCAGTTGGTATACTAATGTTAGTTCTCAGATAATTCATTAAAGGGCGCTGAATGTATTTTTCTTGCATTGATACGGCCTTTTAGAGGTACCCATCAAGTTTGAAACCTGTGGCATGAATAGTAACTGCACTACGATTTTTCAAAGTTGTGTGCACTACAGTGCACAACAGGTCAGAAAGGGTTAAAAGTATAGGAATTTTTGAGGAAAACGCTGATACTATTCCTTCAATAGTTTTCCCGACTTTAAGACTACATTTTAAGGGCTGAAGAGGACTCCTCAGAGGCCATTTGGGGAAAAAACTGGAAAAATGTCAATATAAGTTTCAACTCAGGTTTTACTTAACCCCACAACCATCGAAGCAGAAGGACCCACCGGGACGTCACTTTCTTCAATACTAACTGATTTAAATGAGAGGCTATTCAAAAAATAAAGCGACAAATGCTATGACTTCAAAAGTAAGCTAGGTAGAGGCTTTTTCTAGGTCTTGATTAAAAGACAAGCCTAATGGTTTCCCAATGAGACCAGGATCAACTCATTTGGCTGAAAAGTAAAAAAAATTATGAAAAACGAGTGTTGTGAATTTTAACAAGGATTTTCGCTCACCAAAATTAGTCTCTGAAACTACTGTCCGATGTGAAGTTACGTCTAAAACGACTTGGCAACCTTGAAAACTACTTAACATTTTACCACGGTCATCATCCTACTAAAAAACCAAAGGATTCAAAAGGCAACCAGCCCGGTCGTCAGATTGCACCGCGAAAGTCGGGGAAGTCCAGCCAATTTTGGTGAGCAAAAATCCTTGATAAAAGTCGTAGATGACAATGCAACACACTTTTCGAACCTTCATGACTATTTTACTTTTTAATTGAATGAGTTCTTCTTGGTCTCATTCAAAAGCTACTAGGCTTGTGTTTTGCATAAGACCAAGAAAAACACCTAAAGACCTTTTAAGTTTTAAATAAGACCTAAATTACTTTAGATGTTAAAGCATTCATCTCGCTTCTTTTTTTGAACTGCTTATATATGGAGTGTCACTACTTACCATACATCTACTGAGTAAAAATAGGACTCTTGTGTAATTTGCTGCGGATATATGGGCATAATCAACTCCAACACCCAATAGGCTACTGGCGACCTCATAATTTCGCTCGGTAGCATGAATTTGCTGAAAGAGATTATAATAGACCAGGATTAGGTTATGTCTTGACAAGAAAATTGAAAAATCCGTGTTAAAGTTGAAGGGGCTGATGAATTTAATGGTTTTGTTTTTTCTAAGGTAAACAAAACCAGTAGGGAAGAAAAAAAAAAACTCATACATATATCACAATACTGCTTGCAACTAACAAGAAAAAATAATCATTAGAGAAAAGGTACAAGAGGGTACTAATAATTTTCATCCACAATGAACCACTAGACAAGGTGCTGATTTAAGCTTTATAAAACACTTATTTTCTCATTAAACTTCCATGCAGAACATGATTAAGCAACGAAAATTTTTGAAAGTAATCCGTGAGATAATTTTAGTACTTTTTGATGCAAAAATACCAACTCCTTGCTTGAAAAAAAAAAAACATTATCTACCTGAGTTGAATTGCGCACTATACGTTACTGTGACAGTCTCTCTCTGCGCTATGAAAATATGGCAACCGTAACTTCGGCACTTCCGCTAAGCTGTTGCACGTTCTTTACAATTGGTAGAACAATGGACAGGGAGGGAGCACTACTCAGTTTAGGAGTCTACCAATACTGTTGTTGTGCGTTTGATTCATGCAGTCTCAGGTTTGTCTTCGAAGCAGAAAATTCAAATTTTTTGAAACCAGTGCTGAATTGAAATGATAATATCTTGGCGAGGAGTTGATTTTAGTAATTTCCATTGCCTAAATCATGTTCTACGTAAAATTTTGAGACAAAATTTACATCAGAATGCTTGAATTCATACCATGTCTAGCAGTCCATGGTAAACATTTAATAATTTTTCTTTCATATGAAAATATGGCAGCATCTTCAAAAGAGGAAGCTGTTTCATGACTCCATGAACTCTGCATCCTTTAAAAACAGACAGCACCACCCTAATGCCTATGTACTTAAACTCAGAGAATGAGATGAACTGAGGCTAAAAGAATTCCAAATTCTCTGAGATTGGGATATTCAAAATTTTGCTTGCATGCTGAAATAGCAAAGGGCATCCTTTTAATAAGATGTTGTGGCCATTTTTTTCACATACTCAAGCCACCATTTCTTGAAAATAAATATGTAGTGGTTTTGTTCAGACAGGTTAGGAAAACTAGACAGAGCTGTAGAAGAAATTTAAATTTGAGGCAAATGTCAAAGAGATACAGAGATTTTAGTAAAATACCTATCAGCTATTTTTACAGAGAACTTTTCTTTTTAGGCAAAACATTAACTTCTTAGCTAGTGTTAGAGAGTTAATGAGCAATTGATATTAATCAAATTATGATCAATTTTGAGATTTTTATCGATTAAAAAAAAAAAAAAAAAAAATGGTTACTTCAAAGTAAAAAATAAGGAACAAATTATATGATCAGTCTTCTGAAATAGGGAAACATTTTAAGAGGGTACCATCTCCCAAAGGACAACATGCAATACGTCTTGTTTGCTTTTATTACTATTGTTATGTGCTCACATGTACTTATCTTACAGATAATAAGGAGTTTTTGCGAATGATTCAGATGATCAGGAAATTCTAGCAACCGCTGTTTTTAGATATTAAAGGTTTTATATTCATATCTTTATGGAAAATTATGCCAGAAGTCTGAAACTTGGTGACATCTTTTTTTATAATATGCAGATTCTAAAAAAGTATTATCCCTAAAAATAGCGGATGTTGGATATTCGCTGTTCATACAGATATGACTTCTTGTGCTATTAATATAAAAAATATTTAAGCATCAAAATTCAGGAAAAATTGTACTTTAACTTGTACTAATGCAAGACACTCACAAGAAAAATATTATTCAACTTATTTTAGGTAATCTTACTCACCGCTAACTGGAAAATTAGCCGGCAATGCCAATAAATTGAATGCTGCGATAATTCAATTGCTTTACGAAGAATTGGTTTGGCCAAATGAGAGAGACTTTGCTGGTCATACAAATCTGCAAGAACACTGGCAGTTTCGAATTTTACTTCATCAAAGGCGTTGATTGATTGGGATATGCTCCACTGCGACAAAAAGGGACAAAAAATGACTCTTATTAGGAAATAAAATAGTTTACCTAGGTTCGAAATAAATAATAGATCGAGTGTGTGAATGAGCACAGGAATCCATGCGCGGCAAATGGAAATTTGATATGAGCTTGTACTCTTTATTTTGGCGCATTTCTTGTTCTAAACTCGTTTTAAGTCACTAAAAAAAACAAATAAATAAAGTTGGGACGGTGACTTGGTATAATACACCTACTATAGCTCGGTAAAAAGCAGGAATCTCAGATAAAATTGAATGGTGGTCCTGCTGGTTCAAACAGGCCGTTACAGTCCTACTCAGATGACCGTTACTCCCAAATGAGATTCATCGATCAATGGCAGACTGAAAATAACCTAAAGGTAAAAAATTATAAGTGGGTAAGTAAATTAAAGCAAAAATCAACCTCGAGTACTTTGTTTAGGCAATTTTATTCAGTCCCGGCCCTACATTGGAATGTCAAACTTGTCCCGATTTCACAGCCAATCCTCTAAGCGAAGAGTTGGCATAAATTAGCATCATTTTTTTCTTCTAGCACTCCATGTTTATGTCTTTGCAAGTTTGCTAATTAAAATATGAATCAAACTGATCTTCAAAAAGTTCTATGAAAGAGTCTCTTTCATAACACAAGTCTTGTTTATTGACAGGTGTAACTAGGTATGAAATCAAAATTTTTTTGGCTAAAGCTGAAAAAAGATGACTTAAATACTAACCTCAGAGTGAAATAATAATAGAAGTAGGAACTAAGTCATGCACTTCTGAATATGAACATAGAGTTACAATAGTCGCAATGCACTGGAACACCGCTGAAGTCATTCCTAGAACAGTGCATTCCAAGCCTTGCGGTACATTTTAATTCGGTGGCTTATGGGAGAACGGCGGGCTGCGACCAGTTTTCCAGATTTATTAGTTTAAATCCAAAACTACTCTCACACATTGTGACAAATTATGTTGACCAAATTCATAACTAACTGAAATATGTGAGCACACTTTCTAGTGTGCTCTGGGCATAGAGTACAATAGAGTCGCAATGTTCTGGAGCACCGATGAAGTCACTTTAAGAGGCTGTTTTGTCCAGTACTCCTGAGACTAATGTGCGACGACTGGCGATGACATATGCGCGAGGTCCCAGCTCCGGTCTTCGCTCAGAAAATACAGGTATAAAATTTATTTCATAAAAGCCTGGAGCGTTGTACATTTTTTAATTTCTTACGACTTCGGTGAACACAATTTGCCAAAATTCGCGGAAATAATGATTGATTTAAATGAATAAATCCTGAAAACCACACTCAGCCTGCGAATCTCTCATAAGCCGTCTTGTTAAAAATGCTGAACGGTTCCCAGATGGTTCCCACTGTCCGGCAAACAAGGGGCTCGGAATGGGCCGTAAATGGATTGACTTCATCGGCGCTCCAATGCATTGCGACTCTAATGTACTCTATGGCTCTAGGTGAGTAAGTATTAAGCACTTCACATTTCTATTATGGCTGTTACAGTGAACTCACCCAGTTAACCTCAATGTAGGAGAGGAAAAGATAACGAGACTCACCGCTTGTTCAAGATGCTGTCGAGCTATGTCTATGTTTTTGGTGTGATTCAAAAGAATATTCCCCAGTTGCAAATGGGTCCTAGCTTCGACTCTGACAGGTGGAGCAAACGTAAGCACAGCTTGAAGACACTGAATGCAACATTTGATCTGCGGAGGATTAGCTCTCCTGAAGTTTTCCGCTAGACCTAGTAATGACAAATACCAGGCGTCCTGAGAGGAAGCCATTGATGATCATTAGGTGAAAGCCCCAACACCAACACACATTATTCCAGGCAATATAGGCGTATACAGGCGATATGGACAAGATCACATCAAGATTTATTTGAGATTCTGTGAGCACTGCATTGCTGAGGCCCGCCGACAACGCCCGCTCATCTCGAAATCCTGCGAATTGAATTGAATTTTGAATTCTCTGCAAATTGTTTATGGTTTATTGTTTATGAGAGAAAATTTTTTCGGCGGCACTGACACAGAATATATAATAATAAATAATGGGCACTGCACTGAGCATTCCAGCTAGCTAACAATAATATTTACAATGATGAGCGTTGAGAAAATGAAAATACAGAAGGTGGTGGCAAGGCACTAGGCAGCCATCTTGAAGATTGGCTGTGACGTAGAATAAAACACGGACTGGCGCGCTGTTCAAAAAAAAGTACGTTTCATGATCATACCGACAGAGCACATGGGAGAATTTCATGAGCCGCCGTTCGCAGTGCGCATGGCGCACGAATTCATCTAGCGTTGAGAGTTCACTTATTATTTCACACGACCAATGTGTAATTTTAAAAATCGAAAATTAAAAAAAATGATGAAAAAAAAAAAAAAATCACACGGTATACGAGTTTCTCCGCCAGGGAGCTCTCCCCGCAAGAAATCGTTCACCAACCGCCCGCGTCGGGGGCGCCGCGCCGCCGCGTGCTGCCAGCGCGAAACGTGCACTGACGCCTACAAACCTAAAGGGCTACTTCACGCATTGCGCAATGCTTGAAGTATCACTTTAGGTTTGTAGGCGTCAATGTGCATTTCGAGCTAGCAGCGGCCGGCAGCACGCCGCGCCACAGCGTGCCATAAACTTGCCCACAATTAATAGGTCAGGGTGTTAAAATGTAGGCAATTTGACATCAAATTCGAAATTAGAGACTCAAAAAACATCAATTACGAATCCAAGCTACCACGTTTCTGCGTGCTCCTATGAAGGAAAATCCAGACAATGAAGCCTGGAAGATGTTCATGCCAGATCAGAATACGCAATGTTAATATCCTACTATGTAGTGCTATTAACAACACCGTCCCCCAACGCTGATCGGCATTAGGATGGGCGGGAGGGGGACCAAAATATTCCAGCTATCAATGTTTACAATGATCGCACAATGGAAAATCCGGAAAATGAAGCCTGGAAGATTTTCATGCTAGATCTCAATACACAATGTTACTACCCTTCTATGTATTGCTTCTATCCACACCATCCCCGAACGCTGATCGGCATTAGGATGGGGGGAGGGGGGCGAAATATCCCAGCTGGCACGTTTCTACGTGCTTCCATGATAGTAAATCTGGAAAATGAAAAAGTGCATTGACCAGCCTTCAGGGTGGGAGAGCTGATCTCGCCCTGGAGCTGGTTGCTTCGGGGCGGTTTGAGGTCTTTTCGAGGTTGTTCATTTCAGAGGTCTGGTGGCCTTACGCACAAACGGAGAGATCGTGTTAGTTTTCGGCTCTGATGAGGATCTTGCCATTCTCGCGAATTTGCTACACTCTGCGTCGCATCTGAACGAGCAATTGCAACGTTCGCATCAGATGAGCTCATACTCCTAGAAAGAAACCAGCATTCGAATGAACTCAACATAATACAATACGCATGGTACAGAGTAAGAAATCTAGATCACTTTTATGATCGTGCCTTCGAACTGTGCAAAAGCTAATAAGGTATCACTGGGGCTGAATAATTACATGTTATACGCATGGAGAGTTAAGGCCAAATTAGGGCCGTGTCCGTAGTCGCTCCCTAAATAGCTCTTTTCCTTAGGCTCTACATGGTTAAAATTTTGATTTTGAAAAGAGAAGTATATAAAAAGATGTTTTTGTAACAGAAACGAAGAAGGGAGCTCTGTCGTTTTGGATCCTCGCTAGTTCTGCCCGTGACCGTGCCGTGCCGCAAGCGAAGACTGAGGCGGCAGAGCCTGGAGTGTCAAAACGCCTTCAATACCGAGTGTATGCAATACGGACATCCATGGAGTTCGAATAGTTGCGTGCAGCAGTTAAAATGAAATGCCTTTAGTGTTCGTAGCGTGCGGCACTAACTGAGGTCCCATTACTCATTTCTTTTATACCTTGATTTTGCTCCAGCGTTGCCTATTGTGCCGATGAAGAAACTAATCCTAATTTTTATTGCGAAAGCTTCAATTTTTTCAAGGGCAAGCATTTGCGCAAACGACTTTACCAGCGTTGCCTATTGTGCCGATGAAGAAACTAATCCTAATTTTTATTGCGAAAGCTTCAATTTTTTCAAGGGCAAGCATTTGCGCAAACGACTTTACCACTTCAAAAACGTTGAGCCTTATTTTTGCTGATGGGGTAGCGCTATTGAACATTCGCACTTTTGGGATTTTATACCACTTAAAGAGTGCGAAGGTGCATTCTTAAGTAGGAGGCATATGGCTTATTTCGTCGTTGGGACAGTGCGGCCGCCGGAGTTTCATTGAAGAAGATTTGACGTATGTTACATTAAAAGAGACTTGCTCGGAATGCTCGGAAACCAGACTTTCATCATATGTATCAATTTCCCTGCTAAAAATGATGAGTAAGCTATTCAGAATTCGCCGACTCACATGAGTAGAGTTTCCTACTTATATGAGTAGAAGTCCTACTCATATCACTAGAATATTCTACTCATAAGAGTAGAAAAGTTCAACTCATATGAATTCAATTTTTTTTATTTTTCAGAAGTGGTGGTTTTTTCCAGGAGACACCAACACAGTATGTAAATTTGAAAAATAAAAACATTTTGTTCTTATAATTTTTTTGATGCGGTGACTAGTTTCTGAGATATCGGACACGGTAGATTCAACGCTGAACTCATGTGAGTTGAAGTCTATAGTCGTATGAGTTGGAATCTCTAGTCATATGAGTCGGCGAAAAGTGAACAGAAAAATTCTGCTCATATGAGTCAAATTCTACACCGAAAAAAAATTGAAGTTAATTTAACATTCTGGATGTAAAAAAAGTGTGCGAGAACTTACAAAATGCTAAAATACCTGCCACAGCAGTTACTTCAGCAATGCCAAGATGTAAAATTAAGTGCTGTGGCGGGTAATGCAGCATTTATAAGTTCTCGCACACTTGTTTTACATTCAGAATGTTAATTTAACTTCCTTTTTTTTTTCGGTGTATACACATAAGTTGAAATTCTATTCACAGGGGTTGAAATTCTATTCATGACTTTGATTTTCTACTCATTTGTACTCACCATTTTTAGCAGGGTTATCCCAGTGTTGTAATTTTAAAGATTCTTTATTTCTCACAGATTTTCGGTCAAACTATCATTAATCGCAGATAAATCCTGTGACAATAACTGGCAATTTTGCATTCACAGTTGGCTCTCTTCAGATTATTTTGTCAAAATATATTTCAACCAGAGGCCTGTTACCGCTACGCGGCCGCCAACCGCTGAAAAGACTATACACGCAAAAAATCGTATAACAACCATATTCAAGTTTTTTCAGAGATGAATGGATTCAAAAGCGACGGGTCACGCGGAAGGAAGCGTATTTATCTTTGATTGCGACGTTTTGCACCCTTTTTCTTGTCTTATTTTTAAGCACCGTTATTAAAAAGCTACACACACAGTTTTTCTGAAGAGTTCCCAAGTTTTTTCTTTTTTTAAACACAAAAGCTGCACAGTTTTTTGTAAGTTTCGAAAATTCCGGAATCGTTTTTAAAATAAAATCACAAAACATTTCGACGTGATATTTTCGTTCGTTCTGTTTTTTTTTTTTTTTTTTTTTTTTTTTTTTTTTTTTTTTTTTATATCAAACCAAAATTAATTTTATGCGATTCGCTGCATCGTTTAAACATCTACCTAGTTTCTGAATTGTTGCAATCAAGATGCATATTTACCCTTTGATTGGGGTAAAAATCGGGCAAGGGCCGAATTTTATTAGTCTTTCCACCGTAGGTACTTTAATATACTTAGGACGAATCTCAACTGCACTTAAGTCCGGCTCAGCGCTTCTGATTGGCTGACGCGACGGTGCAGTTTGGACTCATCGATGGATGTTTCGCCTCTATGTAAAAGAACCGACAAAATTTGGCCCCAGGAACTGTCAAAAGAAATGACGCATGGACCTAGTTTTGCGGCGATTCGCAAGCCGGGGAAAAAAGTGCGGTTGAGAGTCAAGTCGTCTCCATAGTGCGATGCGCCTTCAATTCAGCTAGCGGCAACGTGCCTGGTAGTCGAATAGTTATCGCAAATAACTCTCGCATTGCGTTTGGTGCAATGCGAGAAGTATTCCTGCAGTCTTGTAGGCGCTGAATATGAGTTTGACGTCGACCGCACCGTCGTGTTTAGCGCGATTATTCCAACTCCCGTCAGGAGAATCGCGTTATCGAACAATTGTTGACCCGTGTTGTGTTTCGACGCCGAATGAGCACTCCAACGTTACCTCGTTTCTCCCGCTAAAATATTTTCCCTTAGAGAAGTTAGAAAAGTTCTGTATGTTCGCTGTTTTAGATTGAATGGACCATTAAACAAGGTTCAAATTTAAGCACTCTGTTACATCATTCGTCATCAGAATTTCACGCAGAACACGATTCGCGGAACAAAAACTACTGAAATCAACCTCTAGCGAAGATATTAACGTTTTTATTGTGTGAGAGAGAGAAAGAATGCAAAATTCAGGAGGACTTAGTCCTAAAAAAAGTGTACTTAGATATACGTGATAACTAAAAAAATGAGTCGTCTAAAATTTAACCATACATCAGACAAGTTGTACAAAATAGCTTTCATGCACTAAACTAATCTGACACACACCTACAGGGAGTTCAATAAAAAAGAAAATCAAATTTTTTATTTGTTTTAATCAATCACGCGTTTTCCGGTTCATTCCCATACTTCTCGCCAAATGCAGCTTTCTATGGGGAAAAAAGAAGAAAAAAAGAAAAGAAAAAAAAAAAAAACATAATTTAGGTTGGAAATCTAAAATTCTGTGGTGTGCATGTAACCTTGAAATTTTCAGCCTAAATTACAATTTCCCTTTAATGTAAAAAATTCTTGTGATTGTGAGAAAAAACCATTTAGTATGTGTACCCCAGCCTGTAGAGATCCTGAAACTAGTTTAATCTCAAGGGTCGGCCAATTTTTATTCCAACCCATCTGCAGGGACACCGTTTTATTTCACTACGCTCCTTTGCTGGGAGCTGCGAATTATGGCCTACTCTCCGTCAACGTTATTAACCCTAATGTCTTGGCTTGGTAAGCTCCATTATTGTTGTAAAAATTATGCTAATATACTGTTAGTATTCATTGGTCGCATAAATTTGTCGAGGTTATTGCTACTTTTCCATAATTTTACCTGACCGTAATAGCGTAGCAAAATCTCTAAGGTTAAAATCAAAGACAAGTCAGCACGCAAAATGGTGCTTTTACGCTCTCAGTCATTTTACTTTCTTTCTTCCTCTCTTTTACCTATCCCACATTATTTCCTGATTTCTCATCTGTCCCCGTGAAGATTAAGCCTCGAGAGACATGCCTTCTCATTCGTATGTTGTAGTTTAAAATTCGAGAAGAAAATCACGTGAAATGAGTTTTTCCTTTATCTTCCTGTAAGATATGTATGTCCCACTTTTACTGGGGGGTGTCTCTTCGTGCCCCTTGGACCTCCTTGATAAAGGCGCCCTTCTGCCCCCTCACGAAAAGTTCCGAGTTCCGCCCGTGACTATTATTTACTGGTTTAATTATAGACAAAAAATCTACAAAGTGAAAGCCCGTAACTCAGACTCGGGTGGTTATCGATTTGATTTTTTATTCATACAGCTATTTCCCGAACCGAGATGTCACCAACATTCTGTTTCTTCACTCCTTCACTGGCCTTGGTCTGCATCTCTACAGTCGACCACACTTGTACTGTTTACGGAATCCCCATAAAATGATATACGGGTGAGTTCTTTCAAGTACTTCCCTCGTTTTATATAAAATTCAGGAAAAGCGAATTTTAGAAACAGCGCGGTTGGAGAAAGTAACCGAAATTTTGTGTCTAAACGTATGGGAAGTAGAATGCACAGTGGCACAAACTGTAAATTTAAATCTTCCGATCAGTTTATCCCTCGGTTCAACAGACCCCAAGTAGCATTTTTCAATGTAAATGTGGCAAAAAGTTGAAACAATGTTGGTATCAGTTGCAACAAAGTTGCAACCTTCGCTCAACTTTTGGTAGATAAGCGCCGATTTTCGGCGATCTGATCGGAAGACAAAGTTGCAACCTACTTAGATTGCAAAACTGCTACACTAAAGTCGTTTAAAATCTAAAGGTAGGCAACCAGCAATACTTTGAAGTTGAAACATGTTTCAACTTAATTGCAACTAGTTCCGACGATGATAGCTCCTTCGGGGGAGAGAGTAGGCAATCTGCACATCAATCTATTAGTTGCAAGAATCAAACGATTTTGTCGCAAGTTGTTGCCACCTCTGCTACTTGGGACAGAATCTTCTACCAGACCAAATATTTGGGTTGAAAAACTCCAAGTTCATATAGAGTCTAGATCCGAATAGATGGGGACAAGCCTGGTTCCCGAAGGCAACAATATTGGGACGTCGACCGTTGAGCGTTGCCCTTCAAAATTAGAAGAAGCGCCTTCAATTCTTGATCAATATATAAATTGTTGACCGAGTAGGTATAAAGACTTGTATTCGATAAATCTGTTCTCTCCGCGATTAATGTTGATCAAAAGTATAGGTGCCTCTCAATTTTGAAGGGCTGCGCTCAACAGTCGCATCGATAGAGCATTTTCGCAACTGCTGATGGACTCAGCCCTCGCATCAATTTCTAAAAGGGAACCCAAAGACTTCTACGGCCTTGTCTTCACGGGACGTTTTCATGGGATTTTTCCCAAGTTCGAATCGCAGGAATGAAACTTCTGGGATTTTTCCCAGTTACCGTCTCCACGGGACGGGGCTCATACAGTCCTGCGACTAGTTCGCGCGGGAAGATAAATTAGTTAAAGTCGAGTATTTAACCGGGATTGGAATAATAGGTAAATGCACTCAATTGACAATTAGACACATTATTTTAACTAAACAAACATGAACAATGTAGTAATGAATAAAATATCGCACAATTCGTTTTCACTTCTTCTTCTTCTCTCAGTGGGTCCGAGGGGTACAAGTGCCATACTTGGTACTGGGAAAAATATTGGTTAACTCAATACCTATTTTTCCCAACTTCGTACGTGGGATTTTTCCCTGGGACAAATCTCGCGAAACGGCTCGTGGAGACAAGGCCTACCGCGGAGAAGCAATTAAAATCCACAATATCATGATTTCTCGTGTTCTTTTGCGTTTCAGTGTTTACGGCTCCTTGATTTTCAATTTCGGCTCCGTCCTGATTTGGGTAATCCTCGGTCGCTTCCTGTGCAGCCAAAAGCCGAGCACCTCAGTTTTCGTGGGCCTTGGCTCGGGTCTCACGCTTGGTTTAATTGGCAAGTGGTATTTGGACCACGTCGATTCCACCGTCCCTCACTAGTGAGTTAAAAATTATGCTTTCCGCGCTACCCATTATTTATGTGGGCAACTTAAGGGCCCTCTTGGCCCATTGGACGGACCAGAATAGGCGAGAGCATGAAAAGATGGGAGAATCACCGAAAAAAAGTGAAGTTGATTTAACATGCCGGATGTAAAAAAAGTGTGCGAGAACTTATAAAATGTCGAATCACCCGCCACAGCAGTTAGTTTTACATCTTGGCATTGCTAATGTAACTGCTGTAGCGGGTAGGTAATTCAGCATTTTATAAGTTCTCGCGCACTCTTTTTACATCCAGAATTTTAAATAAACTTCACTTTTTTTTCGTTGTATACAAATAAATAATACCTGCTCACTCTTGCAGGCTAATAGTTTGAGACATTAAATCTTTTTGCTCAGGGTAAAGCCGGGGTATAGCCGCGTTTTTTTTTCTTTTTTTTTCCAAAGCACATTTTCCCACGCATAATGCGGGAGAATTTAATAGGTATCGATAACCGCAGTCTAAAGCGTGCCTCCGTTGCAAATATTTTACGAATCGCTTTGGCTTGCCAAGGGTAGGAATAAGTTAAAAAAATTAAAATTAAAAACTCACCTTTAGTAAAGCTCAACCATGCTGCATACTTTGATTCGCATCAAACTCAGATTTCATTATAAAGTTATAGGTCAAAACTCCACCCTCCTCGTCTGGACTGTCGAAGGGGACTCTCCTCCCTGCTCATCCTAATTTTTTACTCCTCTCATTTTTTATTCGATCCCTCGAGTGTTGATTTCGCCTTATCTGAAAAAAGCAAAATCAATGTGTGAAAAATCATGTATCCTCTCATGTCTGAAACTGAAACCCAATGGTTCACCAGGAACTCATGGGTTTGCGAGTATAGGTACTGAAACACAAGCGGTAATAATATCAGAGAAAAAATTACGACACTTACAAAGAATCATCAGAAATAGTTTGTGATGATTACGTTTTATCCTGATAAGTTCCAGTTTCTCCCGTAGACAAAGACCCATACAACCCATGAACCCGCGGGAGAGACCTGCACTTTCAACTTCCTGCTCCTCCTGCTATTTTTCCAAAATTTGATCTACGATTGCGCCAACCAAAGGTGCTCCATCCAGGTTAGATTATTGTGAAATTAATCTAATTGGGAGGACTTTATGTTAGCTCGCCCAAGTAGCTTTTTAATGAATTAAATGAAAGTCAATAATTTTTTACAAAAAAATTCATTTTAATCTATACAATTCTTTTCAGGAGGTACATGGACTACTTTGCTAGGTGAGGTCTGGCCCCCATACTTTCGTGTTTTCATCAAAGGGGTATAAAATACTTCATAGTTCATAGGGGGAAATTTTCGCCTCCTCGCTAACATACTGCCGCTTTTTCACCCCCCCTTCCCCTACGCCCACCCTCTTCCGCCACTTGTAACTCTCCCAGAAGAGATAGTCGAGTCAATTTGACCCAAATTTAGATTTCTAGGGGTGGTCATCAAAAAATAATTCCTTGACACGACACGTGAGCCTTTTAGGGCGCATAAAATACCTTTAATTTTTTTTTCTTCAAAATGATCACTGATATGAATATCGTAACATACAGTTAGCAAACTTAATCTTAACTTTATTCATATTTCATAAATAAGAGGCACCCTAAAGACGTTAATAACAAAATTAGATGATTAAAATCAACACAATATGGGAATAGATATCAAAAAAATAAAAGGACGAGCGCGTATGACGGCGCAGAGATACAACTATTCGTGTTTGATGGATGTTCGTGTTGCATCTGCAAAATTGAAGGCTCGATGAGGCGCGAACTCGCACAGCTACGAGTCTCCGCTCCTGCCACTTTAGTGTTGCTCAGATTCGGAAGAGAAGTTAAATAACGAGGCCCGAATAGGCCCTCCTCTCTGTTGCAGTGTTGCTCATGTTGCTCTGGAGGCACCACCGGGTAAAAGGACAAGCGGAACCAACACAACGTAGAAATAGAGCGAGGAAAGGGACGCGCCTTGATGACGGCGCAGGGATACCACTATTCGTGCTTGATAGACATCTGTGGTGCATCCTGCGAAATTGAAGGCACCCCGGAGCGAGGCGTGAACTCTCAATGCTTCGCTCTGTGCTGCGAATGAGGACCTGTGCTGAGAACCACTGTCACCTGGATTTCTTATTTTTGTTTTTTTTTCGTCGTCAACTTTTAGGGGGAGTTTTTTAGGATTGGGCTGGGTTGGCTACCGCCGCCTAGAATTCAGGAGAAAAAGCTGAGAAACGGGATCCGATTACGTCTCTCCTATCTTCGGCTGTGTTGACAACTCGATTTTTTCTTTTTTTTTTAATTTGACGTCTAATTTTTTTTTAGAATGTATTTGTAAACCTTTATCTAAAGCTCGAATGTACCAGCTTCACAACTCCTCCAGAAGAGATAGTCTGGTCAATTTGACCCGACTTGTGATTTGTATGGGTAGTTGTCCAAAAAAAAATTCCTGACACTATTAACCCCCCCCCTGAGCGATATAAAGGGGACAAACTTAGAAAAAAAGAAGAGGAGGAGGAAAAATTGGATATGAGAAAGGAGTGAAACAGAAAAGAGGGGGGGATAAATTAAAACCGAGGGACCAGCTTGTTTTGAGGAAAAAGAAGCAAACCAGAAAGGAGAGAAAAGAGCTGAGAGGTGAAAGAGTAACTAAAATAAATGATTGGCCGAAAGGGGGAAAGAAAAGGACGTTCTAATGCAAATAGAAGATTTGCATTAAAGCATGCCACTAAATTGATGGGGATTGAAAACGAGAGTGATTCAATTCCACAATTTAGGGGTTAGGTTGAGATGGGGATAGTGAGAAATTTTTGGAATATTAAATGAGATAATTGAATAATACGTTCTAATAAGCACAGAAGGTGCGTATTAAAGCAAGTCGGCTAATTGCATGACATCTTCACTATCGGAATAGTGAACGTGGCATGCAATTAGTGGAGTGTACTTTCTTGGGATAGCCCAAAAGCAGGACAGGCGATACACCTGTGGTGAAGAGTGAAATAAACCTGTGAAGAGAAAGAATATTAATACGAAGAGTGATGAGGCAGCGCTTGGGGCATACCTTTCATCACTATATGGAAATTGCTGGAGAGCACCAAACTGAACTTCAGAGAGCCGGGATGAGGTAGCGTCGGTTTCCTTCGTACAGCGGGCAGGCGCCAGGTAATTACTCCGCTTCGTGGGGACCGTCGGTTGACGGGACTTGCATGTGACGGGAAAGTGTCCTTTTCCAAAACTGAAGAGCCAGAATCCTTGTCGTAATCCAGAGTCCACCTTGGCAGGGGCGTCGGGCAGAGGTTCTTGATCCGGGAGAGAGCTGCTTCCGTAGTGAGGTCCGGGTCCGTCTTC